CAGTTAGATGAGCCCCCCCCCCCCCTCGAGCCAGACCACAGCCTGGGCTATCTTTGGCCAGGAACACTGCTGGTTTTCATGGCCACATCCCGGCTCAATGTGGCCACGACTAACTGCCGGGATGGCTGAGGGTTTGGCATGCATGGCAGTGTGTGTGTGTGTGTGTGTGTGTGTGTGTGTGTGTGTGTGTGTGTGTGTGTGTGTGTGTGTGTGTTTGTGTTTGTATGTATAGGGGGGAGCTTCACAAGCAGGAAAGGAACTGAAACCTGTGGGTGGAGGGAGGAAGGATGGAGTGACAGAACATTGTTGATGTCTTTTTCATTGAACTAGTTTCATGAGAATCCCCAAAGTCCTTTGCAAAAAACTGAAACTGCATAATAATGAGGTAGCATTTGTTCATTTCGGTAAGAACTACGGCTGCATGTGTGTGTCAAAATGACAATGCTTCAGCTCCATGTTTGTGGGTTTCATCCGTCCGTGGAAACTATTAAGTTTTACTACACAAAATGTCTGTTGCATGACCTGTAAGGATTGACTGTTAACAAACTCTTTGCAGAGTATAAATAACAACAACAAGCAGCAAAATGAAAACTCTTTGAACCCTTTATAATATTTTTTGCTATTTCATTTTAGATTATTCCCATCTCGTTCTCGTTGTTTGATGCACAAGAGCTGTCCTGTAAATTGTGGTTAGCCAGACAGCGAATGTTTGACATGACAGATAATAGTAGGAATAATAATAGTAATACATAACTTTATTTGTACACCACCTTTTAAATAAGAAAAAGTGCTTGACTTGACAAAAAGAAGCCATGAACATAACAAACGGGGAAAATAAATAAAATCATTTAAATGTATGGAATAAGATGAAGACATGGTGGAATTATTATTTTCTTATTTCTTTTTTTTAATTGCTGGCAATGGTTTCTGACATCACAATGAGCTGATGGTGGCCATGCTGGCCTTCATCCTCCTGGGCTTCAGGTTACCGGTCAAAGCGCTTAGTAAAGCGTGACCTCCGCCCCCACCCCGCCCTCAACTGGCTCTGGAGTCACTTGACTGCTGCAAAGACCCCTTGTACCAGACTCCAGTTCTTCCCTCCATTTTTTTCCCTGTTGACCTCCTTCATCCCTCCCTCGTTTACCCGCTCCTGCTTCCGCGCCCGCACTGAACCCACTAAATCAGTCAGAGAGCTGTGACTTTAAAATCCCCTTTAAAGATTTAATCCTAAAAATACCTTAAGACCGAGCTGTCTTAAACTTTTGAGTATAACAATGCGCCCCCTCTCAAAGTCTGCTCGAACATAAAAGTGACCTGCTTGGAAGCACAAGCTATTTCTCTTTATAAAAACATGTGAGCACACGTGTTACACATCTTTAAAGACAGCAGGTCCAGTCAACTTTTTTTGTCTAAATCCAGAGGTATTGTGTCATCAGTTCTCCTTTTATCTGTTTAAGATCAAGTGTGCTCCCCTGGCCCTCCCCCCACCACACACACAGCCCCCCGCCCCATGAGTGTACGGCTGTTGTCACCTAAGCTGCGGACGGTGAACTCACTTTCTATATTTAGTGTGTTTGTTGTGTCCTGTTCTGCTATGTGGATCAGAGTTCTGCTGGACCGGGCCGTCGAGGCCACAAAACAACCCAGGAAACAAAAGAAGTGAACTCCGCGTTGCTCAGTATTTCCGTGGCAGGCTGTGAAAGGGTTAATGGCAGTCACTCAGCATGCAGGAGCCGTGGCAGGCGAGCAGGCAGTGCGGGGGGCTGACCTCTGACCCCTCAGGAAAGGAATGTGGAAGCTCTTTCATCCAGGACAGAAACCAAAAACACCGGGCAGTTGAAAAGTGGCGGTTCAATTCCGGCCCTCAACTCTCTTTGATTAGGAGCAGTGCGCAGAGGGTCCGTGTGAATGTGCTGCTGAGCGCTCGTTGCAGCCATTTTGGGATGAAGCTCGATCCCCGACGCAGCGGGGCCGTTTCTCTGTGATCAGCGCAGTGACGGCCGAGTGTGATAAGTGGTTGGAAGCGGCTGCGGTCGGGCTGGCGGACAACCCGGTTATGAGGCCGTGTGTGCTGTGACCTATGACCTACAACATGTGTGGTATGTTTGAAGTTACGTAACAAACAACATGGTCATTATATGTGAATGTTATTTCTAACTATTCTTCTGCGAGAGTTTTTTTGTCGACAGGTCGAATGACATCACCTTTTTCAGAGTATAACTTGCTGACTGATGAGTCGGTGTTAAATGATACAACATTATTTCTTTATTTGACATCAGTATAAGTAGTTATGTGACTTCCCACATTAGTTCATGGACTAACTTTTTTAAGGTTTGATTTCAGCGTTATATCCATCGCCATCTGGATTTTGTGATCCATCACACCACTTATATTATCTATTATAATACGGGTAAATGAAACCCAGCGTTCTGATTGGTTGAGAGTTATTGAGTGATAATGTACAGTTGCTGTTCACGTTGACCCGAGCGTTCCATATCACCGCACACTCAAAGTAGCAGGTTAGATTTTGCGCGGCCGTTAGTTGACATTTTAGCTCGGTGGTGAAACCCGTAAATGCCACAAATGATCCGTTTCGGGCAATGCGAGCTTTCGCAACCAGACAATTAAGGTGGACGTCGTGAGCGAATGAGTTATTGCGCGACGCGATGCTGTTTACACGTACGGGGACTATTTTCTCTCTAGACTACTGAAATGAGAAACAACGTTTGGTGGCTACAACTATTTTGTGCTGAAAGGCAGCTATTTACTTACTATTTTACTTACTATTTATAATTTAGCTGGTAACCGTATTATAAAACAAAGGTACTTGAGGCAGTACTTTATCTTCAATAATGTAACATTAATAATGTTAAATTATTAATAATGTACATTATTGGACGATAAAGTACAGCCTCTCGTACCTTATTGCTTTAATAGAATTGAGCAACACATTCCTGATATAATCAGCAAGTATTTGTCAGTTTAACATTAGCATTAAATCATTCTTCCTCTATCTGAGGTAAGGACGTCCTTACTGGAGAGTCATTTTATTATTTATTATTACATTGCTTTCAAAACGTATACGCTGTTCTTTAAACTTGAGAAAATGTTTGAAAAATACAAAGGTTAATTTAAGAAGTTAGAAGCTATGAAACTACAAATGACCCTTCAAACAGAAATAGACAGTTACGTGATTCACTTTAGCAAAGCAGTTTCATTCGATATATTTCTAAATCGACTACTCTTTAGTAATAAGAATGCATAGAAGAAACCCCGCTCATTTATCAGCGCGTAGACGTGAAAGAGTTCGTTAGTTCACTTTTAGTGTTAAATCAGGCATGTCATTCCTGAATGAAATATCAGTATTTCATCATTTCAAATTAAAGTGAAAGACACTAGATGAGATTGTCCCATTACGTCTCTCCAACAACGTCATAAGACATGATAACATGTTGTGTATCACCCAGGGCATCGTTGCTTGATGCGGTGCTGCTGATCAATCTGAATGTTATATTTAATTCAATTGTACATATCTCATGATATATCTATCTATATATCTTTGTATATTAGCTTTATTTCAGTGTGCGGATTCTCCTCATTGTACTCCATCTGTCTGCGCGCACGCCTTTTCTTGAGTGCGTTTGAGTATGCCCGCTTTTTGGAAGGTGGGGGTTACATGATGTTGAGTTTGGTGTGAACTCTGTGTGTGTTGGACCGTTGTGTGCAGAGGACAGATGCAGGGAGACACCGCATGGTTTCAGGCCGGGAATGTGCGATGTGGGTAGGCTGTACAATGGAGCCGGGCTCCTTGAGGGTGGTCAATGGAGCCGGGCGTCACCCCCCTGCACCCTCCCTGCTGGGTGATGACTACCGCACAACGCCACAGCTGTCAGGTCCTCTTAACGTTCTGGGGAGAACCGCCACACATGCGTGTTGGGGAGACGTGCAGGGAACACATAACTTATAAGCAATGCTGCTAACGCGTAGCAGCAAATACAAGAACGCGCATGCCACCCTCGACTGTGCACGTGCCTGCCCCCAACTTGCAAAGACACACGGAAACACCTGCAAAAGCATTCGGATTCCAACGTGTTTGCTGTGTCTTACTTAACTTATTGACCTCTCATACAGAAAGCATGCCATTACTTTTGGATGCTTGTGTGCGTGTGTTTGTGTGTGCACGTGCCGGTGCGTTTTCTGTCACGTATGTCCACATGGGCTCAGGTGACAAGACGGCCGGAGCGAGGCCAACATGGGCAGCGATTGTGTGTCCACTCAACCTTGAACTCAGCTGGTGTGCTTGCAGGCAAGGGGTCACAGGGGTCACAGGGGTCAGTGAGGGTAAATTAGGGAATGCATGGAGGACAAACAACTGAGGGTCAATAGATGAAGTCCCCCTCCCCCCACATACACGCCCCTCCCCCAAACTGTCTCATCCCGGGGTGGGGAAGAGGAAAGGGGTGTGTGTTTCTCTCTCCGTGGACTTACAGGAGCCTTACACAGTGTCATCTGTAGAGACACCTGATGAGGACGTGTCATTTCATTCACATACTTTAAAAGGTTGCTTAGTAGCTGGAGCACTGCGATCCTGTCATCTGTCATGGGGGGCTCACACTTGTCGTTCAGCTCCCCCTAGTGAGCTCCAGGAACACTTGCTCCCGGGAGGACTGTGCAGATGACAGGTCATGTCTGTTTTATAAGAATTCCTTCGCAACTCGCTGGGATTACGGCCATTCGGAATGGTCTTTGAGCTGTGGTGCCTGTGGCCCAGAGTAGAGCAGGGTCTTCTATCAGAGGATCGGTGGTTCAATATCTAAGCGCCAAGACATTTAATCTCAAATTGGTGTGATAAAGTCCTGTTGGGCTGTACCTTGCTTGTTCTTCCCTGTCATGAGGTCTTGAATGTGTGTAAATGGGTGAATGATGACGTGTAGTGCACCTGCATTTTGATACCATTTGTCACAGGTTCAAATTCTAAATAATTCTCTCTCTCCTTGCAGGACGATAAAAATGCAGAGCAGCCTTTCTCCCTCACCGCCAACCATGGCTGTTGGGACCGGGTGAGGACGAGAGGACACGAGAGCGAAGGAGCGGAGCACCGAGGCAGAAAGAAAAAGCTGGAAAGAGAAGGAGAAGCGGTGTTTCAACAGGTAATCGGTCTGCTGGGATGAACGCTGAGCTTGATGTTGCCACAGACTTTGAAACAGTTCCCTTCAGAGTATACACTGTCCGTCTCACCGCAGATTTTGGCGAACCTCGATGTCCCCGCTGGATTGTTGACACGTTCTGTTAGCTGTCTTATCCGGCCCTCCCCGCCCTCCTCCCCAAGCACACAACGTACAACGTTGAGCCTGCCGGGCAGGGGGGCCACGGGTGAACCTTCATGGCCGTGGCACTCTAGGGCTGCCATGGCAGCTGCTGCCGCCGATGCCTCACACCGTATTACCGCACTGACGCCGGAGGAAGAGGGACAACGGGCTGCCGCCAAGCTGTTTGGGAGTGCCGCCCCGCTGCCACGGATAGAGAGAGAGAGAGAGCGAGAGAGGGGGAAAGAGAGAGAGTGGGAGACGGGGGACGAAGGAGAAGAGGTCGGGAAAGACAGAGGGAACGAGTGTTTGGTGTGCGGGGCCCCGTTCGCCTCCCAGGAGAAGCTCCGGCTCCACATCTCTGGTCACACGGGAGAGAAACCCTTCCACTGCTCGCAGCCACACTGTCCCAAGGCCTTCAGCTCCAAATACAAACTCTTAAGGTACCGGGAGTACCTTTTAATACAATGTGATCCACAGCTTTTGTAACTTTCTATCAATCTCCCAAAGTGTAAGTTAAGAAAAAAGCTGTAATTTTAGCTTCTATTTAGTATATGCACACTTGCTAACTACCATTTCAGAAAGCAATATCTGGCCCATGTCCATCTTCTCTATCAATATTTGTAGATCACACACTTGTATGTGAAAGACATCACTTGACAAACCCACATAGTCTCCAGACTCTGCAGTTCCCCGCAGCCTCATTCTTAGAGATATCCGGCAGTGGTTTTCAGTTAACCCCAGACCAAAAGTACAGACAAGGCAGAAAAAAGTTAGCAACTGCCTGGACCAGCTCTCAGCAGCCAAAGAGCTAGATCAGTTGGTGGAAACCAAAGTCAGAGCTGAAAAGATAGTGACTGTTGGACTTCCATTTATCAAGTAGCAAAGAACTCCAATGATAATGCTGCTTTTTAACTTCTGTTATGCTGTTAGCTTAGTAAAGTGTTACCTTCTGTAATGTGTTGAAATATCAGTTGTGTGTTTACAGTTTAGTCTGTTCCCACCAAGTGGCTAAAACAATCGATCGATGCAGGTCAAGGGGACTTGAGGAAGATTGTGGAAAATATTGGTACTAGCCTAGCTGTTTGAAAAATTCTGAAGGATTTGGGGTTCTTGCTTCAAACCACTGGGACTCATTATGTGTACCTGGACACAAGAGGTTTGACTGAGAAGAATTCAGGCCTTGCTTAAGCTTCCTGACTGACTGCATCATAAATGTGACATTGAAACGAGGTTTGTTTAACGTCTGGTTTTCCTGTGCTCGGCAGGCATATGGCCACACACTCTCCACAGAAGACCCATCAGTGTTCGTTCTGTGAGAAAATGTTCCATCGCAAAGACCACCTAAAGAATCACCTGCAGACCCATGACCCAAACAAGGAAGCCTTCAAGTGTGAGGAGTGCGGGAAGCACTACAACACCAAGCTGGGATATAAGCGCCATGTGGCCATGCACTCTGCCACGTCAGGGGATCTCACCTGCAAAGTGTGCATGCAGAGCTACGAGAGCACACCCGTGCTCCTGGAGCACCTCAAGACCCACTCCGGAAAGTCTTCGGGTGGCGCCAAGGAGAAGAAGCACCCGTGCGACCACTGTGACCGCCGTTTCTACACGCGCAAGGACGTGAGACGACACATGGTGGTCCACACGGGCCGAAAAGATTTCCTCTGCCAGTACTGTGCCCAGCGCTTTGGCAGGAAGGACCATCTGACGCGTCACGTTAAGAAGAGCCACTCACAGGAGCTGCTGAGGATCAAGACGGAGCCTTCGGATATGTTAGGTCTTTTAGCGTCCGGGTCACCGCCCTGCTCTGTGAAGGAGGAGCTCAGCCCCATGATGTGCGGTATGGGTCCCAACAAAGACCCAATGATGGGCAAACCGTTCCCTAGCGGGGCCCCTTTTCCGATGAGCATGTACAACCCCCACCATCTCCAGGCCATGTCTAATTCTGGGGTGGGTCACCCGCACCCATCCCTGATGCCCGGTCCCTTGTCTGCAGCTATGGGTATGGGCTGCCACATGGAATCTCCCGGACCTCTTCACCCACGCTCCCATCACCACCACCATCACCACCACCATCACCACCACCACCATTCCCCTCCACTGCCCTCACACCACCAGCCTCAGGCTCCCCAGCAGCAGCACCAGCCCCAGCCAGCCCACAAATACCAGCTGGGATCTACCTCATACCTGCTGGACAAGCCCTTGAAAGTGGAGATGGAGAGCTTTCTCATGGATCTGCAGAGTGGCTCTCCAGGCCCGGTTCCCTCTGCAGATCCACATGCTGCTGCCTCACCCACTAAGGACGGACTGGAGCCCACCTCGGGCCTGGTGGACGAGCTTTGTGGGGATCACCTCCTGTCCAAGAGCCCTGCGGTGATCGCAGAGTCTTTGTGTGCTGCTAACATGGACTTCTCCCACCTGCTGGGCTTCCTGCCCCTCAACCTGCCTCCCTACAGTGCGCCCATGGGCACGGGAGGGCTGGTGATGGGCTACACCTCATCTGTGACCCCCTCCTCTTCCTCTTCCTCCTCCTCCTCATCTCTGCATGCCGCCGAGCCCCACGCTACGGCGGTTGCCATGGCAGCAGCTGCTGTCGCCACGGCACCTTTTACCTCTTTGCAACCGCAACCTCAGGAGCAGCAGTGCTCCAGCGGGGGTCTGGGTCTCGGACCCCTGCACTCCCACCCACCAGTGTTCAGCTCCAGCCTTAGCACCACCACGCTGCCTCGCTTCCACCAGGCCTTCCAGTGAGAGAGCCTTTCCTGGGCCCCAGCTCAGCTCAGTGTGGATATTTGGGGGTCTTTCCCGGGCCTGCATTAGATTAGAATGAACAAAAAACAGAAATGAACACGTAGAAGCCTTAAATGAAAGTACACAAAAGCTTTTGATTTAGCCTTAAAAGGAAGTTAAACCTCTTAGAGCAAAAATGGAAAAGGTGAGAAAAGAAGTTGAAGCAGCTTTTATTTGCCCCCCATACTATAGTTATAACAATGTATTAACCCACCCACCCTTTTTGGTTTCCATTTACTCCCCCCATTTACTCCCCCTTTCCATCCCATATTTAGTAGTATAGAGGGCAGCATCAGTAGGCCAAAAGGCGTGGTACTGCAAGTAACAATATTAAAAAAATTAAAAAAACATTTTTAGTGAAGAGTATGTCTTGTTGTGACCCAGAACAAAAATAGTTTGAAGTGGATATTTTGTTTTACTTAATTTTTCTTTTCCAAATGTAAGAACATGTTAGAGCATGTCTCATCTTTGAGTTTTGAACCAGCCACTCTAATAACCTGAAAGCACCTCATCAGCAGGAGGGTGAACCTCTTTTTCTATCAGTGAAGGAACGAAGAGAGATTGACCTTGAGCCAGCGATTGACCCTTAGCTCTTCAAAACACTCCTCTTGATAGCAAGACAAGAGCCGCAAAAGTCCCCCTGCCTCTGGTTTTAAAAAGTTCTCTTTAAAACAAGGGACACAATTAAATCAATGTCCACCTTATTTTTCTTTGAGCTAGCTTATGTGCTCCTAGAGTCAGGTCAGCGACAATGAAAATAGCCCATTTATATGACAAACAGACTCTCTGTAAGTGTCTGTCTGCAGTCACCAGTTACACACATGTCCACCCATTTTTTTAAGGAAAAGGAAAAGTGAGTGAAAGTGTGAAAGTTGGTTGAAATTTTTTTAAATCTCACGCTAGCCTTTTTTTTTTACCGTTCCTAAAGAGAAGCACTTTTTAAACTTTTTTTTTTAGCAGATGGCACTTGACCGTTGGAAACCTTTTGTATCCTTCCTCGTGACTTCTGGAGGTTCTCAAAGACTTTCTCCTGACTTCCTTCACCTGCCCCCCCACCCCCCCCCACCCTCTCCCACCCCTGCCCCACCAACAGGTATCTTTTAAAGTCCAAATGAGAATTGCATAATGATTATTGCTGCCGTTACTTGGCATCGTCTCACATTTTTAGGCAGTCTTTTAAAAATAAGATGAATCATCATGGTAATGATAAACCCTGACATATGTGAATGGCAAAAACTAAACAAAAGATTTCAGTGACAGATGAGTAAAATGTTATAAAGAATGTTATTGCAGTGTACGAAATATCTCAAAAATGAATATTATTATTGCTTTTTATCTCAGTAAGGTGTATTTTAGGTAGACGTATTAAAACTTAAGTGATGATGTTTTTTGATGTCTGGCAGGTTTACATTTGTGTGTATCTTGCATTTTTGATCAAACAAACGGATGAAGTATTAGCTTTTTTCCCTCGAGCTCTTTTCTGTCCTATCCGATCTATACCTTTACCTTTACATGTGCTTGAGTTAGTATAGCGGAATCAGAACTGTGGATGTGACGTCTCTACAGAAGGCTGTTAGTGCCTTAATTACCAACAAGGATTTGACCCATGTAGATTGTTACGATGTGGACGTGGACGGCCTACCGATGTACGTCTGTAGAACGTCATCAACAGGGTTAGGTAACCTCTGTGCCGTGAGGAAAAGTCCCTGCTAACCATTCACAACCAGCATATTTAAAACCTGAGCCCAAAGTGAACATAAGCAGTGAAACTGGTGCTCTTCAGCCTGTCGGTCAGCTCACACAGAGACGTCGTTCCAGTCGTAGAAGAAGCGCTCTGAACATCGCCGTGGTCGTGCCGTGGCCGAGCCCCGCACCACCTCCAATCACCATTAAGTATTGAGTTTGAAAACGAAGAAAAAGAAATCGGAGCACATAAAAACAAAAATGATAACACATGTTGCTGCTTTTAGCTGCGGTTGCTGATGTATGACAACTGTACACCACTAGAACATTTCTTTTTTTTTTAGTTTTTTGTTGAAAGATGGACAACGAGCTGAAAACATGCACAAACCGAAACGACAAAGTGTTCATCATACCCCGGGCTCCATCCCCTCTTCCTCCTTCTCTCTCAGCTGCTTCGTAGAGTCAAAGGTAAACGGGGTCAGAAAAACACGGCGATATCCGGGAGAACGCAGTCACCGAATTCCCTGGCTTTGACATTCAAAGCCCCGAGGGAAGTGACACATGACTGAGTGCTCAACTCGAAGGTATCGCTCACAGTCATATATTTGTTTTGTTTGTCGTCATATGCTATATTATTTTCTGTTTGTATGAAACAGGACCTCGAAAAACAACACAACACATCACCTCATTTTTGTTTGTTTTTATTTTTTTTCTTACCAAAACCTGGGGAGAAGAAACTACATTTTTGCACAAAATTCTACAAGTGTTGCCTGATTTAGCGATACTACGGGATACGGAACCCCGGCGCTGAGCAGCTAATGAAAATTCAAGCAAGAAGCTTCCCCACAGTCTGACTGCTAAAAAATCCACCGCTATAATCCAAGATTTTATCTTCCAAGTTCTGAACCAATTTGAAACTCATTTTATTAGCCTCCTCCCTGGAAAGTTATTATTTTGTTTATGTCTCTTGTAAAATGATCAAACTTTTCTTATTGATCCTAAACAAATTAGATGTCGGCACCTTTCTGAAAACTAACATGATGTATTAAAAACATTCTATATATAAAAAAAAAGGTTTTAAGAAAAAACATCTTGGCGTAAGCCACATTTGCAGCAATCAAATTGAGCATCTAAAATAAAGTGTAAAGAAATGTATTACGTTTGTCCTCCCTGGGTTTCTGTGAGCTAATCTGAATTCTAGCACTTTCAACCTTTAAAAAAAAAAAAAGAAAAAAAAATATTTTTTTCTTTTAAAATTTCAGCTTATGTGTTCATACGTTTTGATTTTGTATTGATCCTGTACATGTATGTGCCATTAGTTTGACATGTAGACTTGATCAACCTTTGTATATTTCTCTTCTCCAAAAGAATAACAGTATTTTTGATAGACTTTTCACTAATATTCTTCTAAATAGGAGCCCCCTGCCCCTCCTCCATTTTTTGTTTTTTGTTTTGGGTAAACAGCTTTGCCCTCACTCTCATAAATCTATCTAATCAAGGTCTACAGCCAAGCGACGAGAACAGCAGCAGCATGTCTGTCACTGTGAGGCGCTGGGACAGCAGTGTCGAAGCCACAACCCGACCACGGCCATTGAGACCACGTAACTAAAAGAAGAAAATCGAAACTTAGCACTTAAAGTGTCCATCCCCTGAGCTGCTTGTGCATCTAAAAGAACAACTTAATGCTAATAGTGACACATCTGTAGTACTAGAATTTTAGTTTGTGTGTTCCGTAGTGAAGCTCATAATTTTTCACATCACATGTGGTAAAAAGTAGTTAAGAAGTACAATATTTTTTTGATATTTTAACAAAGTCTGGCCGGGTGAAAAACTTCAACAGCCATCTACTTATTTGGGTATCATCAGTAACTGCGCCGCTATCACCTGATCAGTTACAAAAACACAATTTCAACATTTTCAGTCGTAGTAGTATGGACAGATACTCTGACACTGCGGCAAGGCGCTTATACTTACATACTACATCATGGGCATGAATACAAAATGATCACATGAGTGATTTAGTCACTCTGACACCCTCCACATGAGATGCGACGCATGTTCCCGCTCCCCCCTCACAACTGCTGGCGTGATGCTATCTGTTACTTGGCTGTAGCTCTATTACCTCGACCTGCACCTACCAGGGATGCACTTATCCTCACTTTTTCCTCTTTAGTACTTTTGCAGAATACAAACATTTAAGGGAATTTGTTCATCAGTTTAACTGATTTGATTTTAATAATGCTTGCTCTTCCCCCCCTCTCTTTTTTTGCTTTTAGTAAGAAAACTGGATACAGCCTAATGCAGGCGACATCCACATGTAGTTTTATATATTTCTAGCTTAATGTAAGTCTTGCATTCCAAACTCTTTGTGTATCTCGTTTAGGGACATAGCCCATCTTATTTTTATCACTTTCTATACAGCCACATCTGGAATAAAAAGGGTGAACGAAAATAGAATATTTGCATTCACTTACACTATTTTATATAGCATGGAGTTTATCAACTACAGGGAGAATTATATAAATGATGTGCTTTGGAGAAAAAGAAATGAGAAGTCTTGCTTTTTTGTTACATATCTCACATGCGATCAGTTGCTGCAGTGTAGAAGGGACAGATTTGTATATTGGTTGATCCAAAGAGATGATGAACACAACAATAGAACTATTGACTTATTGTACAGTACAGTGTATCTTTGAGTTGTCATGTGTTATGTTGAAATAATTAAAAGACAAACCAGCGGTTTCATACCCTCTCTGCATTCAATTTGTTTTTATTTTGAATTATTTGTGTCCTTTTTGTTTTTGAACTGTAAACAAAAGAATATAACAAAATTCATAATTAAATATTAGATTGAGTTGTGAGCTTTCCTACATTGTTTCAAGAGTGTGTGGATGAAGAACGAGGTTGAAACATATCAACCATAGTTAGTGCTTGCTAGTTAGCTAGCTAGCCAGCAAGCTAGCTAGCTTGATTTTATGCTAGGTAACAGAACATAGAAAGCTGAAAATGATGGGGGGCTTCATCTCCTAATATTTAGCTTGGCTTCACTGGTTTTGAAATAATGTTTCCGCCAGCCATGACCTGTTAATTTACCTCATGCTAATATTAGTGTGGGGATCCTCGCAGGGGCATGACTGGTTAATAGCTAGTGTGATGATCTGATAAGAGATTTCACAAAATAGGCTACATGAATAACGGGAAACCACCCTGAGCTAACAACAACTGATAAATAAACTATAAATCAAGTCTCATGATTTACCCTGTTGGTTATCCTGCCTCCTGCCTTTTTAGGGTGAGGGTGGAGGATGTGTGGTTTCCCATTCTATGGTTTTGTGGTCTATTTGTAAGGAAGTCCATAATTCATGAGCGCAGTGGATAATCCAAGGTTATTGAGTTTTTCAACCAGTTTATGGGAGACTATTGTGCCCAGAGGGTGGATGTAATCAACAAATAGCATCCTGGTGTAGGTGTTTGAATGCTCCAGATGGGATAGGGATGTTGGAAGCGCAATTGAGACCGCATCCTCCCTAGATGTGTTTCCTCAGTTCTGACTGTTTTTGGGGCACATGGTAATGGTAGTGGATATGAGTGGGGACAACAGAGTGTTGCAGTGAGAGGTTAAAGATGTTGTTTAACACATCTGCTAGTTCCGCTACATCCGCACACTGGAGCCATGTGCCGCCTGATACCCTCGTCCTGCTGCTTTGCTGGTTAATCATCATCAGACTGGGTCTCACCTAATGGCGCTGTAGGACAGTACAGGGTCTTACCTTGGTGGTCGTGTTGTAATGGTTTTCCTCTTGCGCACCCCTAGAGGCAGCTCATACCACACTGGATACAGCTGGATCTGGCCCGTCGGGAGGTCCAGCTCGGCCCGCTGGATGACTTTGCTAGTGTGAGTAAAAATTGCTCCTATTCTTTAATCAGTCCACTGGGGGTCACACTGTTTGAGTAGGCGCGAAACACTCTGACCGTTATACCAGCTGCCACTTTTTCGCTCAGGAAATAGGGCAGCAGCGTTGAGCAGACCCCCAGCACCCCCCAACCCCAGCCTGCCGGACCATTGCCTATGATTTAACTGGTCTGGCCCACTTGAGATGGAAGAGGCCAGTATGTGGCCCCTTACCTAAACTGAGTGACACCCTGATTTAACCTTTTGTCACTCACTGTCTGACACTCACTCACACTCTGACAGCTAGCAGGCCTTCGGGAGACATAAAACACAAAAGGCTCCTCTAGAGTTTGTTCCGTGTGGGCCTCTGTGGAAACACGATAGATATGAAATACGAAGGGCTCATTCTAAGCGAAAACTACCACTTAGTTCTGCATATTAAATTCAAGTTAGCGTTTGGTCGAAAAAAAAAGAACATTTTAAAAAAAACGTTACTTGTCATCACTTTATTGTTTTGTCATTGTACATTTTGTAATTGGACATTCTGTAAAAGAAAAAGAGAAAAGTAACTATCTAGTTCCTTTCAGTCATCATGAGCATCATGCTTTTGGCGAAGCGATGACGGGACCGTTACAGAGCGCCACAAAACAGCAAAACGCAACCATAATAGAGCTGCTTCCTTTTTAAATTTACATTGTAAACCCTTAGCCCATACATACACACGCATGACCCCGGGCCTTCAAAAAAAACAAAAAACGTGACTTAAAGCGGTTAAATTTAAATGGAGGAAATCCTCTGGAGCTTTATGGATAAAAAAAACAACTCTCTTCAAGCAGCTCAATGTGTATGGGTAGGCCCGATTCAAATAAAGGAAGTAGAGGACATGGAAGGAGGAGTGACGCCCTTTTAACCTTCTCGCCCCTGGAGAAAGGGTTGATTTGGGCACCTCGTCTTTGATGGTAAAACCACTTTGATGGTAACCATGAAGACAATGATAGACTAAAAGGAATGTCCTGTTTATTTGATCAGCACGTATCATCTCGGCTCATCGGGCCCATAACATCCCCCATCGGAATGAACTTTAATGAAGTACCAGTGTGATCGGGTCAGAGGGCAGCAGGGAAGGAGGTCAGTGCTGATTTGATCACGATCAAGGAAGGCCCATTTTGTAAAATACGCTCCTTCCCTTTCTGCTATTCGGATGCAAATCAGCTGCACTGGCTGGATTTGGTCGAGGTTCACTGTATCCCCGTTTCCAGGGTTTGTGGGAAAGCTAAGCTGCTCGTTAGCATGAATCAAACTGACTGAACACACGTTGGTTTGGGGAGGAATTTCTTGTGTATTTGGTTAAATGTCAAACTATTCCTTTAATGTTGTGATTATTAAACAATGTCATTGACATGTGTATTTATTGTTCCAAGCTATGGGACAAATATATATATATATATTTGGTGTCTTGGGGAAGCCATTAGCTCAAATTGCTTTGTTCTAAATGTTATTTAAAAACGTTTTAAGCTGACAAATCTGATGTAACACATAAAACCCCAAAATGTCAATTCAACAGGGGGACAAAAAAATTAATACATTACTAAACAGATCTATTAAGAATTACATGTCAATGCTTTGCAACCCATAACATCCAAGCACTGTCAGAATCATCTACCACGTTCACCAAATATCTGATATTATACACAAAAAACATCACACATTAGATTCAAACTTAAAGAAATGAGGCATCATTTGTCAATGAAAATGGTCCTTTCAAATAACCAAAGAAAACTCAGCTTTCTCTCCATTGCTGCATAGTTCAGCAGACGCCCAGCCCTGCTCAGGCTACGCGGACGGCTCGGTTAATAAGCAGAAACACGTTATTTTTGTTGAGTTTCTACTGGAAAAGCTTCCAAGACATATTGGTGTTGTGGACTTGAAAAACAAAACGAAGAGTGACTCCTACTGGTAATTTTGCACCAATTTGTCTTCAATTTGAGTGGCTGCTTTGGGGGATCCCACCCAGTCCGTTCAGAGTGGCAGTGCATCATTCAGAGCCAATGGAAAGCGGGAGGGAAAATCTCCACTACGGTCAAAACCACCACATGGGAACCAAGAGAACATTTAATTCATCCGTTCTGGTGTTACAATGCAAAACGCCAGGGCATGATTTCCATCCATACGAGTTCACCACAACAAAGTCTCCAAGGTTGCTGAAACTGAACCAAAGCAACATTTTAAAGCAAAGACAATGGGAAAACAATAAAATTGCTTTGCAGAAGGTGATATAAAGAAGTTGGGTCATAGATGAATCCTGCGGTAACACAAATCCACCCCCCCAGATAAGTTAGACTCATCGAAAATGAAAAGACAAAACTGAAATATGAAGAAACAGTCATCTGACAAGCTTTGGCCCACTGTGTTGTGTGCAAGGTGGAACAGCAGGACACATTTACTGTCCCCATTGGAGGACAATTCCCCCAAAGTCTCAGTCCGGGATGGTATAAGAGGAGGGGGACGGGGCGAGGGGGAGGAGGACAGCCACTCCGCCACCATGCTGTTCTTCCCCACCAGGCCAGTGGATGGGGCTCTTGTGCCGTAAAACCCCTCCTACTTTCCTTGACACAGAATTCAGTGCTTGTTGGACATGAAGAATAAAAATATATACAAAAAAAAAAGAATGTAACCAAAAATAAAGAAAAAAAACACATCAAGATGACTCAGTCTATCTTGACTGCAGCGTAGATTTTCCTGATGAACATGTATGCTGCGTAGAAGCCGATTGTGCCCGTGAGCAGCCAGAAGGAAAGCACCATCAGGGCGGTGTAGCCAAAGTACAGGAGGGAGGGGATGAACTCCACGATGTCCAGCTGGGGAGAAGTTCAGACAGAGCAATGCAGGTCAATATGCAGTTTTTTCCACTTTTCTATTCACCTCTGTGAAGTTGTGGACTTTGAGGAGGGTGCTCATTTTAGCGCTGATGGACAGTGGCTAGCGGTTAGCTGCTAACATCGCTAGCTATGGTAACAAAAGAGACCCGTCCAGTACTACAGTGCTGCCTGCAACGTGACTGAAGCTTTGCGTGAGTATGTATTTCTCTTTGTGTAGTTAGATGTTAAAGTTCAAACTATATGTTCAGCTCTCATGCTCTACAGTGTTTTCCCTAGGTTTACAACTTTAGGTGGGGAAGGGGGGCAGTAGTCGGGCGAACAGTTCGACCGACTATTATATGCCCAACTTTTTCAGAGTCATTTCTGCACCTCAAAATGCTTTTGAACCCAGGACCTCCTGCAGCACCGTAGGTTCAAGGATTTCATCCTGATACCTGATGGCAGTCAGACTGGCGTTCTCCAGCCTGTAGCGGTCTGTGCGTCCCTCCATGGATACGCCTCCCCAGACCATCATTGGCCACCACCAAACCGCTCATGCTGAACCATGTTGCAGGCAGCATAGTGTTCTCCTTGGCTTCTCTAGGACCTTTCACGTCTATCATGGGTGCTTAGGGTTATTACAGGTTGTAATTTAAGTTCAAACCTCAATGACTTTTTAGTGTAAAGAATCTACATATTACACCAGCTTAAAACACCTTAAGCCTGACTCTCACTGACCCTGATGACATCAAAAGATACCAATTATATTAGTCAATGAGTGTGTGTGATTGAAAAGAACTAGTGTTCAGTAGAATCAAAGAGGATATCCTTATGTGGCTTTTTACCTTGTTGATGAAGTAGAAGACAGCGTAAATGAGGACGTAGAACGCAGAGCCTCCGGACACCAGGAAGGTTCTCCACCACCACCGGTAGTCCTGGTAGTGAGGAGAAACACAGAGAGTGTGTGTGTGTCTTTATACACTTCGCTGGATCACGCTAGCGACACACATGGTTCAACTCTACAGCCGATCGCTCACACTTCTACTCTCTTGTAAAGACCTCTATCCCTTTATTCACAACTTGACATGATGTATATGGTTTATTGTATTGATAGTGTGCCGTCAAGTCTAGTTTACACATCGCCCCGAATGAACTCACCTCTGCACACAGCTGGAAATAAACCATTACGATGCTGATTTGAGAGCAGGACACCACCAAGATAATGAAGACCAGAAACAGGAAGCCAAAGAGGTAGTAGAACTGATTCTCCCAGATGGCCTGTAGGTGGTGACACACACACACACTAACTCAGGACAAAAAGGGGATGTGGCTTTGAACTGTAGACAGTAGACTTCAAAGTTCTCACGCTGAAGATGAAGAAGAGCTCGATGAACATGGCACCAAACGGCAGGATCCCGGCCATCAGGATTCTAGAGGAAAGGAAAGAAAAGGAAAAGCTCCACTCAAACATCAGCCACGGCAGTTAGAAGCCATCGATTAAAGGCAGAAGGTTGCATTGGTCGCACGCTCACCCTACAAACTTGTTCATGTACCAGCGCTGCTCCGGGACCTGCCGGGGGATCTGGTTGGTGCGCACGGGGTTATCGTATGGCTGTTTGCGGAAGCCAAAGTAGTAGCCCAGGTAGACCAGGGGCATGGAGATGCCAAACCACATACACAGCAGGGCCAGCATCGTGGTGAAGGGAACCTGGAGCGATGGGAGATCCGAGGAGCGATTTTTACTCACACGCTACTCTGGACGAGAAATGTATTCATCTGCCACTTCTACCAGACAGTAGAAGTTTGGTGATGAAGATGAATTTGCCCTTTGGCAAAGTGATATTTTACAAATCTAATATTGACGTCACTACGAGCTAGCGTCTCTAATTGGCAATAAATGTAGGTGGAGTGCATTCCTTTGGAGTTTCGAGTCATGGTACTCACGGCCCCGGACGAGTGTTCTCCCCAGATGAAGCAGTTTAGGATGAAGCAGATTCCAAACACCACGGCCGGATACAAAGTAGCCGTCTACAGGGCGAGGGGGAGAAGAAGACACAACTTCAGCCTCCCTGCACGCAAACCTACTGTACCAAACTACAGAGAGGCATCTTGTTTCTTATTGACTTACACAAAAGGCTCCTTTCCTCCACCGATGGCCCTTCAGTGTGCGATACAGCCTGCCGGCGAAGTAGCCGCCGAATACGCTGTAGGGAAAACATCAACAGATGAAAGAGTAAAAAGGAAGAGCCCCCCCCCCCACAATTTTTGGGGATTTTCTCAGAGGGATGAGTTTGGCTCATACCCCATGAACATGAAGAGAAAGCAAGCAGTGGTCATCAAGGCTCCTCTACTGGATGGAGACAGCATGCCCAACATGGCAACAACTATAACACACACACACAGATAAGATCAGTTCATAGATGGAAAACAACTTTAAAGGGATTTGAAAAAATATTTAGATATGTTTAGGCTTCATCTTAAATAACACAGCTGTTTCAATGGTTTTTGGGGCATACTTTGCAGAGGATAGTAGTGTGGTCTGTTGCTGAACAGTTTTCATTTGCATATTTCGGTTGTCCAGAACAACACTCCTTTGACCAAATTTCACCTCATGCATAATTAACAGGAAAAGACCATTGTGGTCTGAGCAGAGGTTGCACACATGTCAGGATCTACAGGGGACAGGTTATAGAGACCGCAGACTCACATATGACAATGAGGATCATGCAAAAGAGCTGGATCCCCGAGCCCAGTAGAGAGCTGAGGATCATGGGATACTGAGGCGGCCTGAAGACGTCGCCATGGACATTCTTCCATCCCGACTCCTCCATAGTGTCCTCCTGGTCGCATCATAGAAAGAAGAGGTCGAGTCAGTCGGATTTTCTCAAAGACATTATATGCATTACTTGCTACAACACAAGCAGACTGTGTGTGTTCTTACTATGTCATCCTCTCTGTTGTAGTTGGCAATGTCTTTCCTCAGGGTCCTGATGATGATCATACTCAGAATACCTGGACAGAGAAAAAGCAGAGAACAAGACGGAGTCAGTCAGCCAGAGGGAGCCGGGTGAATGTTAGTTACTGATGGGCAGGTGTCTGTGTGGTAGCCTGTCATCAGCATATTCCTTTTTTGAGCTTTGAGTGGTCAGAAAATCAGAAGAGAGAAAGACAGTACAGTTCATTGAGCATTCAGCACGGATAGCAGAGGCAATAAGTGTGTTTGTTGAACCGTTTGCTATCAGGCGTTCTCACCCAAACGTCCACCAGTCGCACAGGCGGAACAGAAACGGTGAATGCTTGATGGAGCTCAATGAACCACCGCTTGTGTCAAACTGAATGCCGATGTCGGGAGTGTGTTTGTGGATACCCCCTCGATGATTTACCGTACGACGGCATCAACAGAAGGTTTCAGTTTGCCAAAGCAGAAGAAAAATGGACTGGACAGTGCGTCCTTCCCCCGGCTGCGTTCAGAGCAGCTAACACTACAGAGTATCACTGCGTGAATGCCTGATCGTGGACAACACAGACGGAAAGTGGATGGTTGAATATGAGAGCTCACATTAGCATTCAGTGAGTTGTTGTGCCCGAAGTTGGATTCAAACGACCATACAATAGTGGAAATGGAGCACAAGCCATTTCACTTAGTGTGAAAACCGCAACGTCAGTACTTCCGGTTAAAAGCGAGAAGTTGTGCAGCGTGAACCGCAGAGCGGCCTGACCATGCCCACAGTTGTGGAGGGTAAACAGGATTTGTCAGGAATACAACGTACCGGAGAGGAAGAAGACCACCACCACGGAATTGACGATGGAGAACCAGTGAATTTGGACATCACTCATGGTCAGGTAGGTGTCCCATCGAGACGCCCACTTCACCTCACTCTCCTGCACAGAGGAGAGAGGATCAGCTGACCTTCCTCAACATTTATCAAGCTTTATTTAAACTCTCGTCCTAGAAAACTGCTGAAAAAACAAACTGGGTTTCATCACGGGACCTCAATGCTTGGACATGCATGATATATTCAGTTTTCGCTCTGCTCACTGACCTCCCAGTGGACGGAGTAGGTGAAGAGGACCTCGTTCTCCTTGTTTGGGTCGATCTCCTGAGGGGCAGAGCCGCTGGCCTCTGGCAGCGTACACGTCCTGTCCTTTTCCACTGCCTTCAGGTCTGGGAATGAACAAATACTGGATAAGTACCCGAGCACAACAATCTATATCTCACTGGCCACACTACGCGTGTTGAACCTACCCTCTACTTTCACACTCTGGGGGATGACCTCAAATCGCACCACCCTGTAGTTGTGAACTTCCTGTTCCTCAAGCTTCTCTCGGTGGAAGTACAGAATCAAGGAGAGGTGGTTGTGCAGATAAAACTGTAGAGGACAGGAGAAGAGAAAAAAAATAAGTGTACTAAAAATACAGGCAAAATAATCATTTCGGGACATATGCATATAAAACCACATACATAGGAATGAGTTTATTAGTCCTTTTATGGATACGAATTTGTTTTTATTGTGTGAGAAAGCAAAGACAGTTAAAACCAGAATCCCCTTTCCTTTATTTTCCTTATGTGAATACATGCAGAAATGTTAATAACTCAATGTTACAGTACTACAACACCAACATCTTTTTGAGAAAATTTGTAGAGGGAGGAGTATATTATTATATATTTGGAGTTGTAGTTATAGTGTGCTGGCTGGCTAGTCCCACTACCACCCAAGCTTTAAAATAATGACATTAATAAGTACACAAACACAGATCCTCCACTTATAAATAAATAAGTATCAAACAACCAAATATACCCTGAGATCATTACGAAAATGTGTCCAAACTTGACTGGTACATATGGTATACAGGGGGGAAAATAAGTATTTGAACCCCTGCCGATTTCGCAAGTTTGGCCACTTGCAAAGAAATGTGTGATCTATCATTATAACGGTAGGTGTATTTTAACATTGAGAAACAATATCAACAAACAAATCCAGGAAACTATCTTATAACATTTATGACTTTATTTGAATTTGATGCAGAAAAGAAGTATTTGAATCCCCAAGAAATTACTTAATACTTGGTGGAGTAACCCTTGTTGGAAAGCTTAGACGTTTCTTGTAGTTGGTCAGCAGGTTTATGCACAACCCAGGAGGGATTTTGGTCCACTCCTCTTTGCAGATCCTTTCAAAATCCTTCGGGTTGTGTGGCTGTCGCTTGGCAACACGAAGCTTCAGCTCCCTCCACAGATTTTCTATGAGATTATCTTACGTGGAGCCCCAGACCGAGGGCGGTTGACCGTTGTTTTTCCGATGCTTTTGTAACTCATTCCATTGTTCAATCAATTTAACTCATTCCATTCATCAATTTTGTCTCTGACGTCCTTGGACAACTCTTGCCCATGGTGGTGAGGTTGATAGTGTGAAGTATGAATCTTTGAAAAGGTTTCTTTTATATACACATCACCTACTGAGATCAGGTGTCCCTTATTAGGCCAAATGAGGACTAATCTGTGTGCTTCTTGGGCACATAACTGGTCATTGAGAGCCAGAATTCCTGCTGTTTGGTTGGTGGTTCAAATACTTCTTTTCTGCATCAAATGCAAATAGTCATAAATATTATAAAATGCAGTTTTCTGGATTTTTTGTTGATATTCTGTTTCTCACTGTTTAAAATACACCTACAATTATAATTAAAGATCACACATTTCATTGCAAATGGCCAAACTTACGCAATCGGCAGGGGGTTCAAATACTTATTTTCCCAACTGTATATGGGGCAAGAGGAAAGGTGGAAAGGAATGGTGTGTAGGGAATATGACTACATAATTCACACTTCTTAGTGTCAGTTCTAGTGTGGTTCTACACACGGTTTCATGCAGTTATTTAAGTAATGTGTTATACACGTAAGTATGACTGTTCCGGGATCGCGGCCCCGTTAAATATTCTATTATTGATGACGTCGAGCCCCATGCTTGTTATTCATTCGTTTTTGACATGTAAAAATAAACGAGACACACACACACACTTGTGTACTCAACTTGAGGAATTGCCTTTTGTGTTTAAATGCAACTTCCACACTGGTGACCCCGACATTCGTTTGCTTGACGTATTCACAAAAACGACTCGACCATGACCGCGAATGCTGTCACCCTCAAACTCCCCGAATTCTGTGAATCGTCGGCACGGTTTGCGCAGACTGAAGCGCAGTTCGCGTTGCGGCAGATAACCACTGATACAACACGGTACTACTACGTTGTGTCAGCTCTCGGTAACTCAACAGCGACCCGAGTGGTGAGTCTTCTTAAACATCCTCCAGCTACGGAGAAATATGCAACACTCAAAGCCCACCTGTTAAAGATCTTTCAACTGTCCGACGCTGATAGAGCAAGCAGGCTTTTCTCCCTCCAAGGACTGGGTGATAGCAAACCCTCTGAGCTCATGGACCGTATGCTGGATCTCCTGGGTGAGCATAGACCCGATTTTCTTTTCATTCAACTTTTCCTGCGTCAGCTGCCTTCCCAAGTCAGAGCTGCATTGGCCAACACCACGATCACTGACTGTCGAAAACTGGCTGAAGAGGCTGATCAATTTTTCCTGGCAAGTCAAGGCTACTGTGTCATGGCCGCGCTTCTTCCCACACACGTCGCTCCTGTGACAATTGAGGATTCCACACTTGTCGCGGCAACCTCTTCTCGTCGGCAGCTGTCTTCAAGCCCCCAGCAGTCTTCTTCAGGCTTGTGCTTCTATCACGAGAAGTTTGGACCAAAGGCTCTTAAATGCCGCTCGCCATGCCGTTTCGGCGGGTTGGGAAACGCCAGGACCGGCGCTCATTAGTGGCCATGAGTGTCGGCCGCGTAGGCAGGCTGCTTTTTATCCGGGACAGCATCTCCGGACGACGTTTCCTGTGCACAGAGGAGTGTCCTATCTGCATCCTGTTTGCACCCATGGCCCACCGATGGAAGCTGCTAATGGGACCCCCATCCGCACGTATGGAATAAGGTACATTGAGTTGTGTTTCGGAGGGCTGGGATTTTGTCACGGCAAAAGTCGCCGTTTTTCTCCTCATTTTTTGTGTGCACATGGACTGTTGGTGGATGTTAAGAACCGCCGTTTGATCGACGCTGTCACGTTCTGCTCTTATACGTGCACGCTCAGCGGGGCTGACTCCATACGACTGTCTAGCATGCTCTCCCCATCAGATGACTTCCACCGTCTACTGGCTTGTTTTCAAGCACTCACTCAGCCCACTTTCTCTGCGTCTGCCGTGAAGCATGGTGTGGAGCACCATATGCCCACTACTGATCCACCGTCTACGCCCGTGCTCGGCGCCTCGACCAAGCTTGCCGTTGCTACGGCTGAGTTTTCTAACATGGAACGCCTTGGCATAGTCTGCCGATCCGACAGCCCGTGGGCGTCACCCCTTCACATCGTCCCCAAACCTGGTGCCGGCTGGCGCCCATGTGGCAACTACCGGCGGCTTAATGAGGCAATGACACCTGACAGGATTTTTCAGCACACCTGGCCGGTATGGTGATTTTTTTCTAAGGTAGACCTCGTCCGGGGCTATCATCACGTGCCCATGCACTCACTGGACATTCCAATAACAGCAGTCATTACGCCGTTTAGTCTTTTTGAGTTCTTAAGGATGCCGTTCGGCCTTAAAAACTCAGCCCAATCTTTTCAGCGCCTCATGGACTCTGTTTTACGTGACCTGCCTTTTTTTTGTGTATTTGGACGACATTCTGGTAGCAAGCATGTCCAAATCTCAGCACCTGTCGCACCTCCGAGCACTTTGAGCGGCTCAACCAACATGGCCTGATTATTAACCCTGCCAAGTGCCAGTTTGGTCTCTCTACCATTTACTTCCTGGGACACAGAATCACCAAGGACGGTGCAGTCCCTCTCCCATCAAAGGTGGAGGCGGTCACACAGTTTCCACGCACGCTCACCGTGAAAGCCCTGCAGGAGTTCCTCGGCATGGTGAACTTTTACCACGGTTTCATCCCTTGAGCCACTCAGCTCATGCAGCCCTTGCACAAGGCCTTGAAAGGTAAGCCAACGCAGGCTGTGGACTGGACTGAGGGCAGGGACAAGGCTTTTGCTGACACTAAGGCAGCCCTGGCGCAGGCCACCATGCTGGCACATCCTTCAGCCACAGACTCCATCGCCATCACCTCGGACGCCTCGGACTACGTTGTCGGTGCCGTCTACGAGCAGTGGGTAGGCGGGGCCTGGCAGCAGCTTGCTTTCTTCTGCCGCCAGCTGCGTGCTAACAAGCGTAAGTACAGCACTTTCGACCGGGAGCTACTGGTTCTCTACCTCGCCATCAGACACTTTCGTTTCCTGCTGGAAGGTTGACACTTCACCACTTCAAGCCGCTGGTTTTCGCCATGGCCAAGGTGGCCGAGCCGTGGTCCGCCCGCCAGCAACTTCATCGGTCCTACATTTCCGAATTTACAGCACATGGCCGGTAAGGACAACCAGGTGGCGGACTGCCTGTCACGGGCTGTGGCAGAGGCAGTGCATCTTTGCCTGGATTACAGCCGCATGGCAGCGGATCAGACCACAGACCCAGACATGCCCGCCCTGAGGACCTCGACTACAGGTTTGCAAATGGAGGCTGTGGTTTTTGGTGAAGCCGACACCACGCTCATGTGTGACGTCTCCACAGGCAGTCCTCGGCTGATCGTTCCCACGGGGTGGCGACGACGCGTCTTTGATGCTATCCATGGTCTCTCCCACCATGGTTCGAAAGTGTCACAGAGGCTGGTGGCGGCGAGGTTTGTTTGGCACGGCCTCAAAAAGAACGTAAGAGACTGGGCTACCACTTGCCTTGAGTGCCAACAGGCCAAAGTACACCGCCACACTAAAGCTCTGTTCCCGGTGCCAGAGAGGCGGTTTGACCATGTTAACGTGGATCTGGTTGGCCCTCTGCTCTCCTCTCATGGTTTCACCTCCCTGTTGACCATGGTTGACAGGACCACCCGTTGGCCCGAGGCTGTGCCACTGACATCGTTGGCATCTCTCGAGATGACACAGGCATTTATCGGCCCCTGGGTTGCCTGTTTTGGCACCCCTTCGGACATATCCTCTGACCGGGGTGCGCAGTTCACGTCTGAGCTGTGGAACGCGGTGGCTCAGAGCCTCGGAGCGAAACTCCACCGCACGACTGCATACCACCCGCAGGCTAACAGACTCTGAGCGATTTCACAGGTCGATGAAGGCTTCTTTTCTTGCCGGCCTCAAAGACAGCAACTGGGTCGACAAGCTCCCGTGGGTGATGCTTGGCATCAGGACTGCACTGAAGGAAGACTGCAGTCCTCATCCGCGGAGCTTGTCTATGGCCAGCCACTGCGGGTTCCAGGGGATATTGTTCCTGCCTCCACCGTTCCCTGGGTCTCTCCAGCGGGCCGCACTACTGGACAATGCTTTTCGCACCTGTCCCTACTTCCCGTCACGGCCTCCCCCAGTCGCACATCCCTGCTGGGCTTCAGACGGCTAAATACGTCTTTATTCGCCACGACGCTCACAGGGGACCGCTACGCCCGCCCTACGAGGGCCCATTCCGTGTTTTGGGGACGGGAGACAAACATTTTATGGTGGACTCTCCATTGACCGCATCAAACCAGCTCATTTGGACGTTGCTAGGCTCATTGAATTGGCCCAGGCCCCACGACGCGGGCGTCCTCCAGCTCTGCACCAACCCCCTGCTCCTCTCCCTCCCAAAACTCCCACTCCATGCCCCACGCCCGTGTCATAGTGGTACACCTGCCACGGTAGTGGCTCCTCGACCCCCTGTGAAACACAGCTGTTCTGGCCGGTTAATACAACCACCTCGCCGATGATTTTGTTTCTTATATGGTGAATTCTGGCGGGACGTGTGTAGTGAATGTGACTTCATATTTCACCCTTGTTCTTAGTGTGGTTCTACACACTGTTGTTTCATGCAGCTATTTAAGTAATGTGTTATACATGTAAGTATGACTGTTCCGGGATTGCGGTCCTTTTAAATATTCTGTTGATGACGTCGACCCCCTTGCTTGTTAGATTAAGGGGCTGTGCCATTTTGTTATTTATTTGTTTTTGACATGTAAAAATAAACGAGACACACACTTGTGTACTCAACTTGAGGAATTGCCTTTTGTGTTTAAATGCAACTCCCACAGGAGGATGTTCAAACTGTAAGATCTTAGACGGCGTCTACCTTGTTGCCGTCGACGAAGCCTAGCCTATAGCCGTGTTCAAACTGGACGTCTTTGGCAGAGTCCTTCTTCTGCTGCTCCTCATCCACGGCTGCCTCTCTGTTGGGGTAAAACTCCAACCGGGTGGCAACTGGCAGGTTGTCTGCAATACTGAAATTCATAGTGGAGGAGTTCAATTTGTTTTGGTTTGCACACTGAAGAGAAGAAAAACCAAACTTAAATATATGATTGAGAAGAGAAAGGATCTTCCCACTAGATTATGCTACAAAGTACAAGAACTTCAATCATTGTTTTAGACTTTATAAGGCTTCTGAATAAGAACCATCGCTGCAGTTAAAATAAGTAATGCCTATTCCTCTTTGCAAGCAATCAATAACAGCAGCATTCTGAGGGATTCCCCTGGAAGAAACAGGAAGGGATGCTTACAGGTGCACATAATACTCCTCCTGGACTCGCTCAGCCACCAGCTTGCTCTCTTCTATGCTGAGCTTTTTCTTGTTGCATACCATCTCACACTTCCTATCCTTGTTCATCTCCACATTGTAGAGAGTGTTTACGATACGGTCCCCGCGCAAGACCTCACCTGTAATAATTATAGAAAAAGATGACATGAATGAAATAGTTGGGTTGGATTCTTTAAATACCACACATGCCGCAGGTCCACTTACCCAGGTTCTCTCCTTTGTAAAAGACAGAGTCTGGCTTACAGAAAGGCAGCGAGTAGTATTCATAAGGAAGCTGCGTGCGAGAGCTTGTAAGCTTCACCGCCTGAAAAACAAATCACATGTCTAACCAACAGTATCATGCTATCAAGCCATCGTTGAGTGCATCGTCTGCGCTTCCGTCATCAGGGTTTCTCTCAGGGTTAGAATTTCTCAGGGGATGGGGAGCAACATTTTTAATTTTTGCTTGTAGATTTATTAGGGCTGTCAACATACAGTAAGTTCAGGTGGTTGTGTCTTTCATGGTGTTGCGTAGGAAAAACAATGGCTTAAAATTGGTGATTAAAGTGATAAGCCACGCCCCCTATTCGTTGCGTCTAGCGCAAATGATGCGATTCATGCAAATTGACCAGAAACAGGAGTACGCAGCACGTTATTTTTGAGTGTTTGAGGTGAGGCGTTACATTTGCGTTTGGTGTGAACACAGCATAAGACAATGGTGGTCTTTTGTGAAATCTGTGAAAATGAATGATATTCAGCCATACCTTCAGATCTACTGTGTCCCCCTCGTGGAAGTCCCGTGGAGCGACCCCGGGAACGTAGAAGGGCCGCGTGAAAGGGAAAGAGGCAATCAGCAGCAAGGCCCACCACGTCTCCTGCAAAACAGACACAGATATTTATCACGCGCACACATACACCGCGGAGCATGTGTGTCACAATGTTCCAGAGTAAGAAACGCTGATCCATCACACTGCTATCCATCTATGTGTGGCGTGAGTGCGTGTGAAAACATGGAAACACGCGTGTCACACAGGGAAACCGTGAGAGCTGGCAGCCCTGTAGCTTTGTTGCTAGCTTGACAACAACTTTCCTAACACAGTCAAACATCAAGCAACACAAGACAAAGCAAGACCCCAATTAAGTTCCTGAATAGTCCAGCAGAAATATATACATGCAAAATAACCTACAATAACACTTGTGTGGGCCTATAAGATCATGAGGTCAGAATGCACACACAATTGTACCGAATAACACACTCTTGATGCAATAGGCTACATGCTTGTGGAGCCTGAGGGTGGATCTTCACCTAATCCTTTTTATTTTTAGTTAAGGAAATATGAATGTAAGAATATCAAACTATGCAAGTAAATAAAGCATTGTTCATCCAACAGTCAAACAGATACCAGGTAAAAAAAGGAACCTTACAGATGTTTTATTTATTACTATCATAGATAAATATATTCCATTATCCTATTTGTGGTATCGTATCGTAAGTATCGGGTACCATAATATTTTGGCAGGTATAGTATCAAAGTCATAATTTTGGTATTGTGACAACCCTATTATCTACACAATGTAGTTTTGGGCCAAAGACTTAAAATAGAAATAATTGTTTGAGGAAGAAGTGCTCACAGCAAAATAAATTAGACATACAAAGGTGTAAAGCAGAGAAATCGTTTCTCCTGGTAAAGTCGGTGGAACCGCAGTTATTGTTTTTAACCTTCTTAAAAGTACAGACCCAACGTATCCCCGAGCTCCACAAGCTACAACAAGGGATGTCAAACTGTGTTTGTCATTTTCTCTCAACTATTGTTAGGAATATGTTATTTGATTGACATTGGCAGATATTATGGGGTTCATATAGTGACTCTGTGGTAAACATTAGTGCTCCTGCTGCTGCTCTACCAACTAAACTTGGTTTATTTTAAATATTCTTTTTAAATCGGCTCCTAAATGCTTACAAAAATGACGCTGATATAAAAAAATGTACAGATAATACGCACTTGTAATTTGTTTATTACAAATGATTAAACATTGTCGCCCAACCTCGCTGATTTTCCTGCTATCGTGCAGGCCTAGTTCTGAACAGAATAAAATGGTGTATGTTCGTGGTGGGGGTGCAGACCATGAGGAATTTGATGTTGTAAGAGAAAGAAGAAGTACAGTCGCTGTGCATCGCGATTCAAATGTCTTTTAACAAACGCCTTCAGGCCGGACAAACCGGAACTGGAAGGAAGTCAACCAATTCCCTTCCATGATGCAACTGTGTACGCATAAATGGAATCAAAAGCTTAACTGTTACATAGAAAGGCATTATAAAGTATGGCAGGTAAAGACGCCTTGCCCTCTCTCACTAAAACAAACATAACATTTCAGTGACTCATCAAGTTGACCCGGACAAATCCAGGATTTGGCATTATTGGATGCACTTTGCCTGGCCAAATGGAAAAAGACAAAGCCTAATATTTGTGTAGTAATGCCGGGGGAATAAACTTCAGCTATCTTATCTAAAGAATGCCAATAAAACTGACTACATCAAGTGTGTTCAATCTGTGAAGATTCTAAAAGCCGATGGACACCGAGGGTCCTGCATACCAACTAGACACTGAGGGTCCTGCATACAAACCCCCCATAGAACCATTTAATACGCCATGACAACATACATGGTAACTTGGGAGTGGGCTGGACATCATGCAAATGTAAACCGAATAGCCTTAGCATTTACTTCTTATTCCCACACAACGAGATAACGTACTGGCTTAACCAAAGGAAGCCCCTTGGGGTTGAGACTCTGGGGGGGGGGGGGGGGGGGGTGGAGAGCGTAGTGGAGGACCCCCTCCTACCTGCCGCATCGATTTGAGGCAGCACTCATGCAAGCAAAAAGCTAGTGTCTGGATGTACAAAGCTACAGATCTTCCGGCCCGATGCACGGGACCGGATGCATCGCGAGTTATGACACGGTAGTGAAGTTAGCGAGCGTTGCTTCGGACACAAACGACATGTAACGTTACGTTAGGGGACAGTGACATCACGTTGGCAGTGTTAGTCCACGCCGTGTTGGCCTTTCGTAGCTCATCTGCTGCCGTCATCTTGACAGCTTTCGGAAGTTTGAACTCCAGCGACAACACGCTTAAACGGACGCTGCTCGGCAGAGTTGCTAGCAGCTAACATTGAGAGCAAAGTTCGTCTACCTGGTTTCTCAGGGCTGTATGGCGAATGACAGTCTTAACAACTGACTACGTGGCAAGTTATACCAACTCAGCAGTCTAGTATATCCGACAAATGACACAAATATGTGGTTTGAGCCACAGCTCATTGATGGTCAATCTGGGAAACGTTAGAAATAAGCTAATGCTAACTAACGTTAGCTAACTCCAGCAAGCAGTTAACGTTAGCTAAAATGCCAACATCCAAACACCATCAAACTCCAGGAAGTCAGGACCGAAGTCAACGTTAAAACGTTCTTTAACGACCCAGGTAGACAATTCATTTCCCACCATTGCAACGGTGCGTCCGAGCTTATATGGGGAGAGACTAGGAAAGAGGGGTAGTTTGAAGAAAAATAGTTCGTTTTTCCACTTACCATCGCCGCGGCCGCCATTTTGAATACGTGTCACTCGTGACGTAGCGGAAGTGCTCTTCGGCCACTTCTTCTTTTACTCGAAATACGCATAGTTGACGTGAAACCGAAATAAGCCACTAACCTGCTTAAATCAACGAATAGTTATTTCTTCATCAAAGCCGCTACACAATTTCGTCCAATGCTAAATACTGGCTTGCCTGCTAACCACTATGAATATGTATGCTTTCAAATAACGATTTGGCTTTACCTTCATGAATGCACTCAATGCATGATGCATAATGTGTGGATACAAGTATGCAACAATGCAGGTATATACATGTCTTGCTTTTAAATAAATTTACATTTGGGTGGATAATTGATTCTAAAAGTATTTATTTGAAAATGGTCATTACAGTTGCATCGAGACAAGCGTCAAACAAACAAAATATGCAAAGAGTTACATACTTAAAAAAGTAAATAAAGTTCCATTAAAAAAAAAAACGTCTCTCACTTTCTAAATGGACAACCAAATCCTGAAATAACAACATCTTAAATATTCCCTTTAAAATTGAAAGGATCTTGGTTCACAAATGCCACATTCACATTATCTAAAGAGTGCACAAAAAAGGAAAGTATTAAATACTTTTAATGAAAAAAATAAAAGGCTGTTGGGAAGATCATTGCAGTGAAGATATCCAGTACCATTTGCACAAATAAATTAATTATTTCACACAGAAAACAAGAAGGCCTAAAATGTGGGAAATCTGTTTCTACTCATTTTTTTCTTTTGGTTCCCAAATACATAACAAATGTTTATTGAGCAAAACAGGATTAGTAAGCATAATCAGTTATAATGGCTTCAATCTAAACCCTATTCCCAAATAATTGTATTTATTTATTTGCGTAGTATATACACAGCGCGTATGGAATATATAATAAATGTTGAGAGAGAAAAAGGCACAGCGAAGGTTCATGCTAATGTCAAGCCAGATTGTGCTGGAACAAATCTATGGAATATAAATAGAAGATTCAAGCATATATCAACCACACAGTATCTTTCACTTTCAATGCAGGACTTAATGTTTGTTGTTGACATCGACACATCTAAAAATGGCCATACTTTGGTTTGATGGATGCACAGTGTGTGCTGGAGTAGCCAAATTGAGGATTTCTCGTTGGATGAAGGTTGACAAGTGGCATGGCTTTTTATTTATTTTTTGGTTTATGAAAACGTTTTCACTTTGAGCAGCCTGTCCATGATGTGTAAAGGGGTTATTGTGTGCTTCAAGTGAAGCAAAAATAATAATAATAATAATACATTAATACAATGCTTTCTGTGTTGTCTTGCATAGATTTAATGATATATTTTTATCCCTCACTTTTTCTTTACGTAAAGCAAACAATGTTCACCAACATATAATCTAATAATAATGATTGCATTGTAATATTGATACTCCGCATGCTAGCAGTGGTTGTAATGTATTAAAACAGCTATTATCATGCATTATAAAAATATTATAATGGTGACCAACATGGCAATAATAATACACATGGTCTTTGCTAAAAACATTTCAGTGAGTGAACAGTAATTATAAAGTATTATGATACCTGATATTATAAGTCATTATATAATACTTGTAATATATTATGATCCTTGCAATAAAGCCTTACAAATAGTTAAGCGGGCTTATAACTTTAAGCTTGTACATTAAATAAAAGGTTAACATTGCTTCAATATATTGCGTTCCTTTCTCTTGTGTGGTTTTATCACTTAAAAATGTCATTCAAAGTAAGGAGACCCAATGAAATATAAAACATGTTAGGATAAGTGATGCCTAGCTTCCTATAACATATAGTTAATTTTGTGAAACCTTTGTTACAAAACATTACATGTGTGTGAATGAGATGGAGAGAGAGAGATAGATAGAGAGAGAGAGAGAGATTGGTAAAAATAGAGCATGCATGATGTGAGTATGTGTGCTCTGAATTGCACTACTGCATGTAGAAACTGGACTCACTGTTAAGTATGAAAGGAACAGCATATAAGAGTAAGACAGTGGACGTTCAGCCTCATGGCTGCTGCTGGTACTGGCTCTCTGTGGCGGTGTAGAAATCCTCCAGGACACTCTGCAGGTAATCAAAAGTGGGGCGGTCCTCGGGCTTATTCTTCCAGCACTCCAGCATGATGTCATAGAGTTCGGTGGGACAGCTCTCCTGGCGCTGCATCCGGTAGCCCTTCTCCAGGGCACGGATCACCTCCGGGTTGGTCATCCCTGAAACAAGAGCATGTAAAAGGGTTAAAAGAGTCTGCAGGGGGCGGACCCATCTGACTTTTTTGTTCTGATGCTTCAGCTCACTGTGCATGTCTAAGGAGAGCTTCAAAGAGCTGCTAAACTGGAGTGTATCATGCTGGTTCTTTCAAACCAAAGCAGATTGGATTTTTCCATTTGATTATTACAGAAAATCAAAAACCAGAAAACAAAAAAATTCTGGGGCAAACAAGTTTATGATACTTACACATAAAGATAATCTTCACAAATGAAATCAATTTTTTTTTATCAATCACTAGAATAAAAGCAACACACTTTATCACTGCACGTCACTGCTACTAGTCTCCAAGAGGAAAAGTGTTGTTGGAAACGAAAACGCAAAAATGCTGACATATGTCTCGGTTTTAGGGGTCATTCCAGCAGCACTCTGTAGCTGCAGCCTTGTTACAGCTGCACTTGGCATCAAGAGCTAATCCTGAAGTTGAAAAACACTCCACAGCTGCGGCAAAGTGCGGCTTGCTGCAAGTTGCCACAGCGAGAGAAAAAAAATGTGTTTTTCATTTGACTTTTTTTTCTGAAAGTTTTTTTTTCTCCCAAATTACATGCGCTTGTCCTCCTTGACACATTTCCCAAGTGTCTGCCGATATCTTCACCACATTTTGGAGGGCGACTTTAAACCAAAGACATTATAATCAATGCGTTCAGTTTAGTTACAGAAATAGAAAGATATCTTTGTCAGAACTGAAACCAGTGATTCACTTGCCTGGGTATGGTGTACGTCCATAGCTGATAATCTCAGTCAGCAAGACGCCAAAGGACCAGACGTCAGATTTGATGGTGAAAGAGCCATAATTGATGGCCTCCGGGGCTGTCCATTTTATGGGAAACTTGGCTCCTGGTTTGTAGGGCAAAAACAGTCAATTCATGGTGAAATAATTAGTTTAATCTCTTTTCACACTCAGCAAGCTGCACAGCACACTGCTCTCATCTCCACACTTCTCTATTTTTGGCGCCCGTGTTGTAATCCTACATCTCGTTGACACAAAGTAATTCCCCCAGAACTGGTGAAACCTGTGGGTTCCCCAGTTTCCTCATCACTTATGCCAATGACGCCCGGCTACGTAACGTGTGTCGCGCCGTACCTTCCCTGGCCGTGTACTCGTTGTCCTCAATGATGCGAGCTAGGCCAAAGTCTGCGATTTTGCAAACCAAAGCCTTGTTGACCAGGATGTTGGCAGCTCTCAAGTCTCGGTGGATGTAATTCCTCTGCTCGATGTAGGCCATACCCTCTGCGGTCTGGAGACAAAATAGGCAGTGGAAAATAATCCACAGTGGTTAATAGCAACTCCATCTAGCAAGGACATTGTAAAAAAAAAACCTGGACGCTTCTAAAGCAGCATGTCCTCATCAAAAAGAAAACCTCCATGCTTTTGGACATTCAACACCTAGAATAGACACTGCTCCTTTTCTTTTAGCAAATCCCACTGTTGTTAATAATAGAAAACTATAATTTACTACGCATGTATGTATGAATTCATTTCAGGCACGTGCACACATAGACCCCTAGTGGTGCTTAAGCACCTGCCCTTTTGCCCTGGATGAGAAAAGTGCCCTGTCTGTTGGAGCCCAATTTTTAAGTATATATTTAAGAATAAAAATGACTCTCTCCATCATCAATTTCCCCCCAAAGTGTGTTTTGATATGTGACGGGGCATTTTTTTGAGTTCTTTGAGTTCTGTTTCACAATTTCGCCCAATGGAGATGGTGTGAGATCTTAAAAGGAGACCTGGGATGTTTTCAGAAGACGCACAAAAGAATGTCAATCTCCTAGCTAATCATCAACCAACCTCTGCATAGCAACAGACACACGTACGGGGACTATTTTCTCTAGACAACTGAAAGGCCATACACAACATATTGTGGCTACAACTATTTTTGCTGAACGGTAACTATTAACTTCCTATTTATAGTAACACCTCAAACTGTATATAACTGTTTAACAATATAGATGATAAAGTACAGCCTGTCTTATCTTATTGCTTAAGTACAATATGGCCTTGTTTGGTCTGTTTTTGCCTGTTATTTTATCATTATTTATTAAATTTGAGTTAGTTTGTTTATAAAAATGTGTTTATTTAATTATTATTATTTTTAATTTCATGAATCATTTTGGAAATGGGTTCCCTTTTGTTTTGGTTTGAGCACCTACCCCCCAGAATGTCTGTGTACGTGCCTGATTCATCTTATGTATATTTGAACGTTACAGTAACAGGTCTTGGTGGGATTGAAGCAAATTGGATAATTTTCCCATGAACTTCTACACAATCAGACTAAATCTTTACAACCAGGGGGTCTGTCCCTTTGTGGCCAGGAGAGAGAATGCGAGTTTGAGGCAATTGGACATTTGCAACACTTTGTAGAACGATAAAGAACTGTAAATTGATTGAAAATCATCATTCGGCTTTTGTTGTGTTGCATACACGTTCATATTAAACAACTAAAACTGTCACGCATAGAGTGAAGGAGCGACGTTGACTCTCACTTGGGCAGAGAAGTCGATGAGCTTTGGCAGCTGAAGGCGGTTGCCCTCATCACTCTTCAGGAAGTCCAATAAACTCCCTGCAGACACATACGCACACACATTTGATACCAGTATTCAGGCTCCCTCATGAAGTTGAAAGGTGTACTGCAGATATAAATGTTGAATAGACTGTGCTAGACACATCGTCACCCTTGTATTTCTAACTGTGTGAGGACTCTCATTGACATAATGTCTCCCCATACAGTACAGTAACCACCACAACTAAATTTCAACCCAAAACTTCCCCCAACCCTAACGTAAGCTATACTCCAACTTGTACTTTAAAACCAAGTCTGAATCTTGAAAAACTGGCTTTTGAAGGCCTAAATGTTGTCTATGTTGTCACTCAAATCAGGCCTCGCAAGAATAGTTACAAGTACACACACACACACACACCTTTCTCCATGTACTCAGTGATGATATAGATGGGCTCCTCCTTGGTGACCACAGCATTGAGACGGACCAGTTTGTCATGCTGCAGAGTCTTCATCAGGTTGGCCTCGCCCATGAAGGCTTCTACTGACATGGTGCCAGGCTTCATGGTCTTCACTGCCACTTTGGTGTGCTTGTTGTATGTAGCTTGAAGCAAAAACAAACGTTCAGAATCAGAAGATTGAATTGCCGGCTTCCCATGTCCCTCAGTAACTGCACCGTAAAACGATCGGGATCCATCTCACCCATCCAGACTTCTCCAAACTGGCCGGCACCAAGCTTCTTGTCCATTTTGAGTGAGGATCTCGGGATTTCCCAGGCGTCTTTCTCCCATGGCTTCTCCGGTTTGGGGCTCAAGCACGGGCTGGTGAGGTTTTGGCAGAGGCCATCTCCCTGCTCTGAAATAAACAAAAAAAAATTTCCTGATCTGAAAATCTGTTATATTATATACATATTATAATATAATAGAGATCAGCACTTTTGTTCTTACTTATAGAACTTTTCTTCTCAAAAAGAAACAGTTGTAACTGAAGAGCAATTAAAAATTTCAAATCATTATTTTTTTGTAATTTCCCAGAAACTTTTGGGAGAATAATTGAAGCACCTTATGAATGTATATCTGTGGACTATGTATGCTAAATCACAAGTATGGCCAGCTTAACAATGCGTGTAATTCTACAACACACTATTTACAAACTACTACCACACAGTTATGTTCACTAGACTCTCTAGTTAGATTACAGTACAATACCGGAGGTAAAAATCCTGCAGCTCCAGAAGTGAACTCACTCTTGTAATGGGTGACCAGCTCCTGCAGGGTGGTGAAGGTGTTGCGCGGAGAGATGTAGAATCCTCCGTTGTCCAGCGTACGTATCTTGTAGTGTTTGACCGTGTCCCCGGACTGGGGATCGCCATCCCTCACAGACAAGGAGTAGCTGCCTAAAACAGAAAGAAGACACCAGCAATTATCTACAAGGGATTGTGTTTTTTAATGCTGATACCAATATTCTTCTTGTGACAGCCTCTGGGACGTCCTACTAAGTAACGCATGAAGGGGAACAACAATGGTGTTGTATTGTACTTTGACAAAAGTCCAAAAAGGGAAATTTGACAAAAAACAGATAAAAAAAGAACAATCGAAATCAACAGTGCAGAACGCTCATCAATAGCTAGTGTGTCTACACTATTCTTTCGATTTTGTTTTCCACTGAGGATCCTACAATCTGCAATGGGATGTGGTAACTAGCTGATCGCTGTAGCGACGCCAGGTTAAACTGCTCGGACTTTGTCTTCAACCTGACACTTTTGCTCATCTTTTTTTTAATTGACGGATTTGTGCAGGATGTTCTTGGTCACACTAATGATTATTCTCCCTGAATCTGCAATGTCCTCCTTCTTGGTATCGGCTCAGCTCACTCAAAAACCTCTTCTGAGGTGCGGCTTAGCAGGTGCTAAAATGAAAAATGAAGGTCTTTGCAGGTACAGATACCGACATATAATTCTAGTGGGTAAAAATGATTTAAAGAGATAATTTATGGATGAGTCTAAACATTCTTCTCCTTTTGGTATAAGGGGGGGGTAATTCTACCCATTGCGCCTTTCATTTCTAACTTCAAAGTCATTAGTGTGTTAACCAACTCTATGTATCTATCTGTTAAACGCTAACTGCAGAGATCAAATTATTTAGTCTATTGCAACACAAAAGGACAAATCATCGTTTAACTCACCCCTGGTGGTCTCGCTGTCTCGGATCATGAAGGATCCCGCTCTGTTCCCCGGGGCCAGCAGCTGCCTCTCCGCATCTTTCCTGCTCACGCCCTTAAAGAACCACCTCAATAACAGGAAACAGATCAGTTAGCGCAGAAACCCACTCAATAACAAACTACAAAAAGGGGCCATCTAAATATGGAAGATTAGTCTATATAGAAGATACTCACAATGCATACAAATGGGATTTTAATGAGTGCACTTACTCCTCAGCCTCCAGAGTATCTTTGGCCACATAATTACTGGGGATGAAGCCCTCCTGACCCGAACTAATTAACTTAGCTTTCCACCACTCCCCCGATCTGCAAAGAGAGAATAGGACAGGTTTTGTTGTTTAATCAAAGATGCAGCTAACATATCACCCTTATCCTCATATCCAAAGCAGACGACTGTACTCTGTCGCTACTTACTCTGTTAGGATTCGGAGCTTATCTCCCTTCTTGAAGCCAAGGTCGCCCTCGTGGATGGCTTCGTAGTCGTACAGCGCCATGGCGATGCTCTCACCTACGGCGCCTTGGCCCAGAACCACAGTGAGGAGAAGTGAGACACTGGCGGTATTGGCGTGTATAATATGTATCTACTCTCTGAAGAACTGCCTGAGAAAAACATATTTGTGCTTGTACACGCAGCTGGAGGTGCAGTGAGTAAATGAAGATTGTGACTCACCACCTGAAGAGTTACTGGATGCCATATTTTTCTGTAGAGAAAAAAACATGAGGTGGTATAAGGCAAGGAGACCCTTCGAATGCCCCCCCCCACCCTTCTTTCAACACAAATCGTATTCAATTCTACTTTTTGCTTATCTAAAGCAGGAATCTGTTTTAGTGTCTCGGACTATTACGTACCATGTAAGAGCCACTAAAAGTTATAATCTATCTTCTTTATAAGTCTCAAATTGTACCGGAGTAAAAGCACAAAGAAAACAACCATTTGAACGGGAAGGACTTTATCTTATCAGCTTTTCAAAAACCGGCATGCTGTCTGTTTGGATGCAACATAATGCCACATTACAAAGGTACTAGTTCAGCTGGGTAGAGACCAGAGATATAGAAAGACCCATGTAGACATGCGAGAGATAAGACAACTCAAGTCCTGTCTCCAGAACGAGTGCTGTGCTTCTGTCACTTCCTCTTCCTTTATTGGGGGCGACAGAGATGTTACAGTCAGCACACAGGAAGCAGTAGCCAAAGGAACCACACTTGACACTCAGCACAGCTGCTAGTTTACCAGCAGAACTGATCAAAGTCTGGCCAGTATGCAAACAAGCCACAGCAAAATGTTTATTTGGAAACACGCTTTTATGCTTTCACTGCTACTGCAATTGACACACTTAATTCTCCTGATTCTTCTGCAGGTGTGCACATCTGTGACCCTAGAGAAGTCAAATCCTCCAGTATCACCTCCAAAAGAAAAGATTAGAGAAGAAGTCCTCGGGGGTAAAACTTTATTTGAGTAAGTAATTGAAAATCCACTGTTTATTCTTCTATTTTAATATATATACTACATATACTTATATATATTATATATTTTGTATTTTCTTATTCATCTATGTGACTATCTATCTATAATTCTACTTTTGATGTATAAAGTGAATTTTCCTAAAAAATCTTCTTCAGTTTCACTGACGGCCTATTTTTACTTGTAATGACGTGTTTCTAAATTGCTGGAACTTAACAGCGTCTGAATCAGTTAGTTAGAATGGGGAATTTTTGAGGAAGCAAAGTATAAGTCCTAACTTCTTCCAGTGACTTTTATCTGCCACTACTGCTTACAGGTTTGCTCCCAGGGATTCCTACGGTAGGGTCTTTGACGTAGTGGGTGGTCAGTGTGTGGCTCTGCTGGTCGCCGTCGTCCGTCCCTTTGCCCATAGGCTCCTGCTCCTTCTTCGAGCCCACACAGCCCATGGTTGCTTCTGCAGCAGGACAACAGAGCACAAACAAGAGCATATGTTTCTTCTTCATAGAGAGAATAGTTGCACTCACAACCATTCAATAAAGAACATATACTGAGTGAGCAGATGTTGAGGAAGTGTTTGTCGCGCTGTTAATACATGAACAAATAATATATTAATTGACCTTTGCATACTACAAAGGGCACTATGCTGGTCAAACATTATTTGAACAAACACTACTAGTAGAAAATACAAAACTACTTCCTTTCTTACGGTAGATTTTAGGCATGTGGGATTGGCCTTTTGTAACAATCCATTCTGGTGTTATTTTAGAACACATTGCAGATATTGAAGGCTTTTTCCCACCAGATAAAAAAAGCTGAAGTCAAATATTGTGTGTACTGTGTTTAACTTGCTACAAAAACTGTTTGTCAGTAGTAAGGTTCAAGGTTCTTTATCAAACAGGTAATTGAATTCAAGCAATCTGATCATCTGTGGCATAATACACTCGGCTTCCCTCTGTTTCCGCAAAATGACATGCAGTGCTATTTAGAGAGAAGGTTCCACAATATTTCCCAGAATTGATGCCAGTGTGATGCACTTAATACAATAAGCCTTGAGTACCACAACTCAGAAACTCTCTGATCGGTCTTGATGACAGGGAGATTATATCCATATGGCTTTAAGTGCACGTTGGTGCATGTGAGAGGGCCCCACCTCATATAGCGCACACCCTTGAGTTTGCACTCAGGTAAAAACCCTGAGGGACACCCACATGGCAACAATCACATGGTCCTTAAGGCGGATAATAATGAAAGTGGGAAGTAGGGTCATTTCTCGCAGACTTCGATACAATTACACTTCTTTATTTGAGGCCCTTGTACACTGTTTCCCTTTTTAGGCTCAGGTTTCCTCGAGTGGAACAAACATTTTGTGGACTGTGAAAACAAGTTTTGCTTATCTTGGTAAACTTTGTCCACTGGTAAAATGCTCTTTCAGTGAAGAGAGTAGAATAAAAAAAAAAGAAAATATTAATATTACAGAAATGAACACGAATGTCTTTGCAGCTACCGTAGATATTGAACTACGTCCACTCAAGACACCTATTCAGGCGTAATGTCTAGAGAATACTTTGTTTTCACATGGAATCTAACTGTGTATCCTCATGTAAATGTCAATGCGGTTATCTGAAAAAGGTTTTGGAGAAGCGAGAACAAAGAGGGAGTCTGTGACGGCGGATAGAAGTTGTGTTTTATGGCACACATACATGTGTAACCTGTCTCCCTTCAGCTCATGGGAGCAGCTGGTAATGTTTATCATAAACAGCAGAGCCCAGTTACCACGTTACAGAAGTCACATGTCATTGAAGAACAACCAGAAGTAGACCAGAGACCCTCAACATCCTTCGTCGGTGCATTTCAAATAACTTTAAACGTTTCTACAAGGATGCCTTTGATGAGAATCTACGGACGGAAACATAATCATTGGCCCACTGCTCTACTGCCACGCACCGCTGTACTGGAGTGGTAAAGAGTGGAAAATTTCATTTCAACACAGGAAGAGCCGGTGTTCTGGAGGTCAAAATTAGCGCATTTGCTTCCCTTTTTTTCTCTGTTCCACACCTCGTTCCTCTTTTGATGTCTAAATTCATGGGGCAGAGGCTTGCGAGTATTAAACAATGGCGTCTACTTGTCATGTTATCACTGATACAAAACGGAGGTCAGCGGTAGGCTGGTGCTAATGCATTGCCCTAGTTTGGCTCTGTAAAACAGCTGAAGCTGTCATTGATTCATCTCAGTCACTGAGTAATGCATCTACAATGTCAAATTTCACATAGCCTGAATGAAAGGTGGAATCAGCTCACATTGCAGCTTCTGGTGAATGCAAACGGTCCGACTTTCAGAGTATCATAGTGAGATCCATTGTGGCTCAATCACTGAGACAACAGCAGAGGGCCCAATGGCCTCACTTAGTAGACATATAAGTTAAAATTCCATAGTGTGGGCACTATGTCCGATTTGTTTTGCAACCAACAGCCACACAGACAGCCCTAGGCTCCATAAAACCCTTCATGTTAATAGGTACATAATGTCCTTTAGTTCAATAATCAGACAAAGTCAGACGAGGTTCAGACAAATCAACTGGGTTTATATTTATATTAACTATTAGCTCATTGCATAAGCATCTTTGTATGTCCCATCTAGTATCCTAGCTACAATTCTTTAAAGAATCAATCAAATAGTCTTAAAGTTTTGCACCCCAAAGGTTAGGTTAGTTAAGCACAAAGTCTGGATATCAGTATTTGCCTCAAAAGTCAAGTGTTGGTTGGGCTGTAAAATGTGCTCGACAGAGAGATTGTACCTGTGGCCTGTGACTTTTGGGATATAAAATGCCATCATGTGATCATTTTATTCAAAAAGAAAGGAAGAAAAATGAATCTGTAAAATGTGTGCTTCTGTTTCTCTTTGATGTTTTGACCGTTGAAAATAGACGTTGATCTTGGCGTAACCTACATGAATAAAAGTTTTAATCAAGTAGTATATGTTTTGTTCCGTCTGTGGGATCACCTCTGCGACAAGAATTTTGAAGAAAGATAATTTCTAATGCTGTAGATCCCTAATTTATCCACCAGTCATCACCAATTTACATTGCATTACATTACATGTCATTTAGCTGACGCTTTTATCCAAAGTGACTTACAATTGCACAACAAGTGCATTCAACAATTTACCCTTCTCTAGGTAATAACATTCAACAACCATAAAACACACGATGAAAGACAAAACGGTTAGCTTAGTTAAGCACAAAGTCTGGTAACAAAGAGAAACAGCTTGCATTGCTGTGTGCAAAGACTCACAATCTCTACAGCTCACAATGTAACAACATCTTTCTGTTTGTGTAATCTGTAAAAATCTGGTTTTGTTGCGGATTATGTGCGGGATTATTTCTCAGCCAGCAGCAGTGACTTGTTGGAGTCTGTGATGTTAGTCTGGTATCCTTACCTGAAAACATGTGTATTCCCATCACACAATGGAGCCACTGTTTGATTTGTCCATTGTTGGCACTTTTGAGAAATAGCGCAACACGGCGTGGGAGGTGGACCACAGACCATATGTGAGTAGTGGATATAGTCACGTGACGTTGCCCATTGGTTTGTGGACTGCCATTATGAGCATTCAAGTCCATTTAAACGAGAAAATAATGGGCTCTTAAAAAGAGAGCACTGCTAAATTATTGCTATATATAATGCTTTTTGAACACCTTTCCAATGGATTTATGCTGATTCCTGACTTCCTTGGTGTGGTGTTACTGTGGCATTTTTTTGTCTTCGGTGAAGTGTCTTGTTTCACCTTTAACGCATTGCATATCAGCCTATCTAAGCCGATCTTATATTACTTATTGGGGGAGCTTACAGGTACATTTAAGTGTTGAGTTGTATTTAAGATCATTTTTCTGCATCTGGCTCCACGCAGGATCAGGAAGAGTCAACCATATTTAATACGTACTTTATGTACATAGCATAATAATGAAGATTGAAAAAAAAAAGTTGACTGCTCCAAAACGTTGCTGACCATTCCATCTCACTGTATCTAGGGCCAGGTTCATAATTATCCAACCATATCATACCATGCAAACAAGAGCCACTGTAAACATCATCACAGCCCTAAATCTGCTATCAGACAGGCGGCTACATTCAGCCAATCTTTCGGGATGTGTGGATAGCACAACGACAAGCACAACAAGAAACATTATAGATTTGCATGTGCCATTTTGAGCCTAGCAAGCTCAACCCTGAATCCATCCGTCCCAAAAACTGTCCAATAGCTGGTAGTTCACTTCCTAAATCCTGAAGGAAGTGAACTACCTCCACCGAATGTCCCGATTACAATTGAATGCATGAAGGAGTGATATTGGAAAAATGTAAAGATTTTAGGTGGTCTCTCCACTAACCCTTGTGTTCATACCGCCACACAGAAACTATTTAGCTTTTTACTCCCCAATCAACCTACGCTGATCTGAGGCCAACCCAGAAAAGAGAACCCATACAATAGGTTACATACTTACGTTGTACAAAAGTATTAAAATAGTATTAGTAAAGAAATGTAACAGTAGTAACAGTTATCTACATATCAGTCTCTAAATATCGCGGGCCGGCTCTGAAGCCGTACCGGAAAACTAGTTGAACACAGACTCTCAACAGATGGGTATAATTCATGTATTAGATAACATGTATTCTGTTATGAGAAGTTTTGTTAAGCAGATTTTGTGGGCTGTGTTTGGGAAGGCCTCAGGCCATCACAACGGCACCTACCAGCCTGGCACACCACCAACAGGAAAAAAGAGACAGAAAGAGAGAGAGAGAAAAAGAGCGAGAGACAGTCACGTGTCATTAGGGAACTCATCCACAGCAAAAGTCTCTGGACCAGTGAGGTTTGTGTTGGACATCATCGACAGTCCTGTTGGACTGAACCAAAGCTCCTGCACGCATCTATAAGCTTTTTTGTTTGCTGCTGCCACCAGCAACAATATCCAGTCTAAATCTGTCAGAAATTTGTTTTTTCACAATTATAAAAATCATCAAGCCATGCAATGCCCCAGATTCTCCAAAAAATACACATTCTGCTTCTGCGTTAAAGCAAGACGAACTCAAGACAGCAACCCTGTGTGTTGTGTCAAAATTTGAAGTTACGATAGCTACTTTTCACAATGTGTGTGTGTGTGTGTGTTGGGGGGTGGGGGGATTCATCAACCAGTCTGATGCAACGCTGGCATTTCTGCAATGTACACTTTTATGCTTATGTTTCATGCAGAGCGTGTACACTTATGAAGGGATGCTCTCCCTCACGACACAAACAATGTCCTCGCGCACTTCACTGTACATATACGGTAGTGTTCTTTCACTGTTGAGTTTGTGATATCAAACCCACTGGACATCTAAAATGAAAGTTATTGCTGACGGTGTCGGAACAGAAACTGGTCTAGTTGCTGGTTTTCGGTTAGATGGACAAGCTAAAAATAAAGCTGTCGCACGCACGCACGCCCACACATTAGACCTCTCACTTCACAAAATGCGTAAGAAAGTGGAGGAATGCGCTGTAATTTAAATATGTCTTTTCTTCAGTGGACAGCGGAGCACTTTCATATTTCCGCTATGTATAATTTGCGCACGGTGACGTCCGCGGGCGGTGCTTGTTTTAACATTCGAGTTCCTCTTTTTTTACGTCTCCTTTTTAGCATCATTGTTGTAAAAACGGTATATCAATGAAATAGGTTATATCTCTGAGACATTTACTTCGTGATGTATACAAATGTACATAGTCTTTCTTACGGTCATCTTTCAGACACTTACCTGGTTTCAACACACTTCCACAGTTACTCTTGCGCTCGTATAGATGCTCTTCTAGACTCTTCTGACCGTAAAAAGCATAATCCTCATTTCTTTTCCGCCGGCTCCATCGCCTCGCAGAAGTTGTGTCTCTGTCGGCTTGCGGCTGAAGATGCGGACGCGGCGCAGCGCACTGGACTGGTAAGAGGAAGTTTGCGCCGTGCGCGTCTCAGTGCGCGCTCCAGAAGAGGAACAAACTCACTCACGGTTTCACTTAGTCTTAGACTGTCTGCCGCCCCCCCCCCACCCACACCCAGCTGAAGCTGAAGAACGACAGCTGTGCGTCAGAACGCAGAATATATATATATATATATATATATATATATATATATATATATCTTTTTTTTTTACATATATATTTCTCATGGAGATTTATTTTCGCTAATCCCGAACGCCCCAAAATATAACAATGAAGGCAGATTACTATCTATGCTGTAATTCTTAATGGCGGAGTATGGCTAGAGAGAAAAATGGATTACGGTTGCCATGATTGGGTGGAAAGAAGTGAGAAACACGTTTTGCATAGTGTGCAGCTCCAACGTGTATTCAAATGTGGCAGCCATCGCGCACGGTGCGCGGGCAGCAGAGCCGGAGGCGGGCACGGCGCAGCCCCGAGGGCACCACAACAGCAGCTCGGCAATAACATATGAGAGAAGCTGCCGCTCTCCACTTGTATCCTTAATCAACATTCAGGATTAGAATTTGGGTTCACTCTGAAACCCAGGCCACAGTGACAGCGAGAAGGAGGGCAGTCCAGGGATGAGGATAAGAAGGACAAATTAGAAGAAAGAAATAGGAAAAAAATGATGCAGGATGATGAAAGATAAATAAAATCCCCTGCATGAGGAATAGAGAGGGATAATTTGTGTTTAGCAGCAGCTCAGAGCAGTGTGAGTGAAAGTGTGAAGTTCGAACCTCGGATCAAGAAATGCTCCTTTTACTTCAGCCTCGGCTGAGACAAGAAGTCAAAAAGAGTCAAAGAACTTTGACAGAAGCCAGGCTTCACAGAAGCAATACAATTGCAAAGTAAAATACGGTACGAATAGTATATTTTTCGAAATAGAGAAGTCCCCTGGTCCACACACCCATCTAATAGCTAATACACTTTAATAATAATACATCTTATATCATCACAGTTCATCACATTTTAACCACCCATTGCTCAAAAACGGCCAGACAGGAGAAAAAACTTAAAGTAAGTAAGTAAACTTCATCAAACTCCAGAAATCCATCAAGGAAGGAATATGCATCCTTCCGCAGGCTATATCTATACAGTGAGATGCAAATTAAATTACTTGTACAACTATAAATTGTGTTTAATGAATATTGCAGTTATTAATACAAATTGCACGTGAAAAAGCAGAACCATCTTGAATCTTGATGGAAAGCGCTGCTTCACTGCAGGCATTCACATTTACCTAAAAATCCAAGTGCTGAATAGACTGAATAGAATGCTTTCCACTGGTTTCTACATCCACGTCATCACATTGTAACCCCCTGCATAATGTCTTAAACCAAACATCAAATGTGTTGTTACTTACATTTCCTAAAGCATTGTTCACTGGGGATAATCAGTTTCTAGTACATATGAATCTGTTGTGTGGTAAACCTGTTGTTATTTTAGGACAAATTAAGGCTGGATCAGAGGGAGCTACAGAAGCAACATTCAAAAGGTTTATTTCAGCATTAGACGTAGTGCATTAAGACAAAGAATATATATTGTAAAATTAGCTAAAACTACCACAACATTTCTGCACGAGCCATATTGAGCTGCATTTTATGTTTCTTTCCTTTGAATAGTAGTGAGTGTGTGTGTGTTTGTCGAGTGAGTGAGTAATATGGCCACAGGTCTGTAATGTCTGTATACCCCACCTAGAGGACGGTTGGGAGGCTGTGTTTTAAAGGCAAGGAAAGCCTTTAAAACACAGGAAGACACAGCAGTGGGTGTGGCCTGAGAGGGAAACAGTCTTTTGACCGTGTGGTGGAGTGACATGAGGAGCCATATCCCGCCATATAAGAAACTGCTTTAGTTTAATTGTTTGTTATTTTTACCTCATGTTTTTGGTTTGTAAATTATTCATATCAAGCGCAATAAATGGTCATTGCACCGAACCGGATCACCTTCTACTCCTCATCTTTACAAACAGCACACGTCAAGATATCCAGCTCAGCCACCAGTAGTAGCTGATCAGGGAGTAAAAGGGACGAACGGAAAAGACTACTATTTCTGTTGAGGCCACACAATGGCACAGTGTTTAACTTGATGTAGTAGTACTTCAAATAGTACTTTAAATACAGCCATCTCATTTGAATTCACTAGAATTAGAGAGATACAAATAGCAGGGCAAGGCTGTTTTGTCCCCTTCCTAAGTACTGTGCTTAATGGGCTCTAATGGCTTTAGAAATACATGGTAGAAAAACTAGAAATCAATATGACAGCATTACAGCTGCACCGGTCTTCACACACAGGATAATACAAAGGGCACCACTTAATTCCTTGAGTAAATATCAGCTGGTTCTGCCTTTGTATTAGTGCTATACAATGGTTGTTTATATATTTACTCAAAAAAAATTACACAATCACAAAAGTGTGGGTTTTTCATTTGTCTTTTTTATCACTTCCGTGCACCCGGGTTACTGCACACAACTGTGAACGGAAAGTTAATACTTGCAAAATATGTGCATTCTGAAAATGAAAAAGAGGAAGAGGAACATGTTTTTTCTTGGGTAGTCACTTATGGCGAGGTGAGGAGAGTGGAGGTTCCGTGGCAGAAATAGCACTGACAGTATGTCAGTTTGAGTTGTACCTTACGGGCAGTTACGTGTTACAAAATGTGTGTTTTGAGCCTGATCTTGTCTCAGTTCTCCACCAAACCACCATAGGCTGCTCAACAGGATATTAATATCCTTGTATATTACAGAGGATTTTGGACTTAAGAATGTCAAGTGGACAAAAACAAAACCCCAAACAAATGCAAACTTTGCTCTGCGTCTTTTGAAGTACAGCAGACGTCTTGGTTAAAGTCGTTTGTTTTACGGGATGTATGTACTGCTCATTGCGGTGCCCTCAGGGGACAAAATCAATTGATGGAGGTTTAGGTCAATGTAACATCATGCTCTTTAACAAGTGCTCTTCTCCTCATTTCTCACTGTGATCTTGATGTTCCTCTCCCACTCAATATCTATGAGGAAGAAAGAAAAGGAATTGTTAAAAACAAATAATTGATGAGGGTTGGGTTGAAATATTCTACGTTTCCAATAAAAACACATTGTCCATTGGAATTATGTTCAATTGTAAATCTTTCTGTTTCTCAGTGGATAATATTTGTACCATATTTAAGGGATGTCTCTGATACCATACATTTGTACAAAAAAATATCCTGGTCCATAAAGCTGTAGAAATCTGGTAATGTAATCTTTTGGGCTATATGGGTGCCCATATGGTTTAGAGGATTTGGAGCTGGTTGAACATAGTGTTATAGGGACATATTACCCAGAGAGGTTAGAAAAAGATACACGTTTCTAAAATGCTACCTTTACACAGTTATCTATAAACTTTAGTTCTATCGTTACCTTTTTAATCAGTTCGACGCCAAGTATTTAATGTTCAAACCAATATTCCTGACCCTTCAGTGCATTTAGTGACATTGTGGACTCCTTGTAGCTCTGACAGCTTGAATAGCAGCAGTGTAGACACGGTTTCATTATTCAAATTTGTGGGCGTACAATTTCGGAAACAAAAACAGTTTTTATGGCTTGTCTCTCACTCCCTTTCTTTCCTTCGTTCTTCAGGCATTAGGGCCGAATGCGCTACTTCCGACCATGAAAAGCAAGCAGGCTGATACCATGTGCCTCTATTGATTTCCGCTTTATATACATAAATAAGTCAACAATAGGGAAAGCTTGACCGATCCGATTCTTTTCTATTTTCTGAGTCAGGCACAGCCTTGGGAAAAACACACAAGGATTTTAAATGTGAACCAATGCTTACGGTCGGTTTCTGAGTCCTGATTTTCTATCTCCACTGGAGCCCTCTTCCTCTTGCCGCCGTGGTTCCGCTCTTGTACTGATGCACTTCCCTCCACACCTTGCTCCTCTGAGCTGCTTCCTGGCTCAGCGGGTGTTGATGATGACTGTGATGAGGCAGAGAAACCACATGCACTTAAAAAAAAAGGGGCCTCTTTTTCAAGCGAAAATTAACTAGAACCAGCTAATATTCTTACATGGAAACCGTTACATTAAGTGAGAACATAACACTGCTTCACTGTGTCTGCTCTGGTGGCGTGAATGACCTCACCTTGCCCTTTGATAATAAGGCTTCTTGCAGATCGGAATTAAGGTTCTCCAGCACCACTACTGTTGGATACATAACACAAAAAAGTATTATTTCCCTGTGCACAGTAAATACATGCTTGAACACACATAGATGCATATGAATCTAAGGTCTTCACCTGGACGTAATGATATAGTGAGGGTGGGCACCTTCTTCTCGTAGCATTGGTCTGTCTTTTCGTTCACCTCCTCTTTCAGCTCCTGCTCGTTGACTACCTCCTGTGACAATCCATCATACCATGAATCCTGTTTGTCCCATCTTTACCATAAAGATTCCCCTAATTTCTTTTTTTGATTGCCAAAACAAATTACCTTGTGATTTTGGTCAGTGGAAGATTCTTGCTCTTCTTGTTTTACTGATGGACTTTGAGTCCATGAGCACAAGGGAGGATTGTCAGGAGAAGGTGATGATACTGTTCCAGGTGACGGCGGATTGGCCATCCCATCCTTGTCAGGGCTTGTCTGTACTCTCTCTCCACCATGTAAGGATAATGGTGAATCCTCTGTTTCCATTTGCCTGGGTTGGGAATTTCCTCGATCCGATAGGTCCAGAGGCCAGTCATAGGCCTCTCTTGCACCTTCAGCAGAAAACCTCTCTGTTTTGAAAGGTGGAACTTCCTTTTTCTCTTGGGGCTTGATTTTACTCTTGACAGGCTCTGGAACACTTCTCAACCTGAACACTACAGTTGGCTCTTTGGAATTGGGCTGAGGGGTGCTCTGCTTTTGCCAAGGAGACTCAAAAACCTGCCTTACAGGGCTGGCATGTTGGCTAGTTGGAATCAGGTTGGGAAAGCGTGGCAGGTTTGGCTTGGGAGAAGGTTGGACCAGACTAGTCCCCGGAGAAGCTGGGGTCACCCAGTCTGAGGATTCAGATATGGGCCAGGGGATACTGACAGGGCTGCTCTTGATGGGCTTAGGACGGCAGGGGACAGGAGCATGGAGCACGTGTCTGCTGGGGTTGACTTCTCTACTAGACAAAGAAGAAAAGTTTTTAAGAAGGAGAGCTTTAGGAAGGATAGTACATCGCTGGTCCTGTCCTTCAACAATCAAACAATTTGCACTAATGCATTACCTTGTAATAGTAATATGACTAGAGTTCCCACAACTAAATTTATACTTTTAATTTTGTTTTTGTTTTTTCAGCACACCCAATCACTAATTGGTCCCATTCAGCAACAGCAATTTTATTTGTTATTTCCCATTTCCCTCTGTCCCACCTTTTTTCTCTAAGATGGGTTAAACCATGTTCCGTCCTCCAGGTGAGAGGCTTGTAGAACTCCTGTGAGAGTAGAGAAGGGGCAGGAGGTCAAAAGTATATATATATACAGGAAACACATAGCTTAGCTTAGCATAAATACCACAAAGAAGGGTCAAAGAATCCCGGACTTTCTCTACAAAAGGAGTCAAGGATTAAATAAAAAGGAGAAACAGATTGCTGTTTAGTGAGCTTCAGACATGCAGTTAGTTGGATATTTTAGCCCGCTGTTCCAATCGCATGTATGCTCAAGCTAATGATCTCCGTACAGATATGGAAGGCCTTTTTTGAGCTGAGAATTTAGAAACTTACAGAGTAGCTTCTGTTCATCCCTCTTAATCGTCTGTGTTCACTTTCTGTTATAAAACACAAACAAGAACTTCATGTAAAAATGAGCGCTTCATAATCAACAATAGCTCCTCTTCATATCCTCCTCACCTTCAGCTCTTTGGACCGTCTCCGTTTTCATTGCAAAGCTGCCATCTGCTGGCTGGTTTCTTTCCCTGCTGGTTTCCTTAGTGACGAGGGGAACAGGTCCAGATGAAGGTGAAAGGTCAGGGGAGCTGTTTGGTTTGACCCCTGTGGTGGTGCTGTTGCTATTGGAGGGGTGATCGCTGGGACCTTTGCTACAAAACACACACAGTGTTGGATGCGGTGTGTGAGAAATCATTTTTAGGTAGTCCACAATCAACCACTGGGAGACCATTTTTAAATGGTCATTGTTATGATATTGGCCATGCAACAAAATTCAACACAGCAGGTTGGCATCCATTTTCAACACAGGTGTATGAAGAGAAACTGGCAGAGCGTTGGAGCCTTGCGTGAAAGTTACCTGGTGGCGCAGGTAAGTGGATTATACATCTCTATGGATCTAAATATTGAATAAAAACTCTTGCTTGCTTGTGTACTTCCTCAGAAATTAGTTAGTTAAAAAGCAAGTGTATCTCCGGCCTAACACCTCAGCATGGGGCTTGAGTGTGTGTGTTGCTTTGTCTCAGCAAAGCGGTGGTCAATTGAATGCGTTATTTGATGCCGTCTTCTATTTCGATGCATCATACTCACTTGAATGCTGCTTTGATACTTCTGAGCTCCTCTATAAGTTGCTTGTTCTCCCTTTTCAAGTTGTTCATCTCTCCCGCTATTATACAAAACACAAGACATAATCAGAGCACTTTAAATTGTATTTTTTAGGGGGATAGGAAAAAACATGAATGGGAGGTTGAAATAAAAGTTGTGCCAAATGCCAGAAGCCAACTGGAAGCCATTAGAGGCAAGCCATGGATCAAGAATGGATGAAAGGTGGATTTTGAAAGACGGATGTGACCAGACTACCCAATAGAGTGATGTGCTGGATGCTCTGTATCTGTGAAGACTCAAATTCCTGCTGTCTCCTCTTGGCTACCTCCTGAGTGACTGTGCATCTGTCACACAGCCCTGCCCGCAGCCTACACAGAAAACCACACAACACCAGAAGCCCAAATGAGTTCCAAATGACATCATCTTAATGTTCAGGTATGGGGTGGCCAGCAAAGTTGAACATATATCAGACTGTCCGCGAAAGCCAGAATGCGTAAGTTTTGAAGAAAGTAATCGACAAATGAAATAGAATTGTATGCTTTGCCGTAGCCTCACTTGGTCCAATATAACCATTACTGGTGGAGGCTAATGTTAGCACACTTTAAAATGAATGAATATTTTCTTTATTTTGTTTAACAATTTTATCATAGTTATACATATAAAGGCTGACCGTACTGTACCTGTTTTCTAGTGTCTTGATGTTCTCGGTAAGGACTCTCTGCTGTTCTTTCATCTGCTGGTTTTTTGAAAAAAGATCCTCCATTCGCTTTGTGTCACTGTTTACATGCACGCATAAAACACACACAGACAAAACAAGAACAAAGGATTGTTGAAAGGTGATGCTGATCGGATTTCACATCTTCTCGTTATCAGTGAGATGATACATCGTCTTTCATTCATTTCTACAGGCAATGCGTCTAAAGCCTCTGCATTTACACTGCTGCTTGATACATTTATATAAGTAGAAGAACACAAAAACACACTATAAAAAGTGAAAGTAAAATGTGCTTAAAGCTCAATACAATCTTTCTGCATGTGACAAGAGAAGGTGGTGCTAAAGAACTCTGATTAAGAATTTCTTATGCAGAATTGCAAATGCAAAAGCAAAGGTTTTGAGGCTTTTGTCAGAATTCAGTTTTAGTGTGTGAGAAATCACAAAAAAAACATATCTAGAAACACAAAAAATAAATTTCATAGTAAATACAGCTGTTATAATATTAGAGTTAATAATATTATTAACAAGTTCCGACTGAAAACAAGAAGAACTGGAAATAATAGTCAAAGTTGCCTAGGAGTAAAATGAGAATAAGAAGAGAAAAAAAGATTGAGATTTTTTGCTTCTAAACTTCTAAAAGTGCTTGTTGAAAACAAACAAACTGAAAACATGTCGGACACTTTCAGACTAATTGGTGTGTTTTAGTTTTTTAATGCCGTAGTTTAGTTTTACTGTTGTGTAGCGTGGCCAACATTTAGTCTGGACCATTCTACATTTTGGGGAATATTTGTTCACTGTAAAGTCAAGGTAACAAGGGGTAAGCATTGGATATAAAAATCATATTCCTCTCAATATTAACAAAATTTTGCCACTTGTGGTTTTGTCTTTTTGGCACTTGTCGTGATTTTTAGCAGCATTGCAGCTCAACAAGATTTGCTACCACAAGGACTGCATGCGGAGTTTCCACTTCACTGCTTGGTATTTCTAAACATAGTAACTTCCGTTCACTTAAAAAAAGCCATGATGTTGGAAATTGCCAAACTTAAGGCTTCAGAACTGCAGTCCACAAACCACTGCTGATAGCACCATGGCTACGTCCACGTCAAATATACAGCTGCAAAACGGGACCTATTTGCAAATTGTTTAGTTATTCACTTTGACATAAATACATTGAAAGAAACGTTCCCAGCAATGTTTTATATTTTCTACCATGTTATTTATTTACCTGTGTACATATAGATGCTGCTGTAGCAAAATAATCTTCCCTTTGTAGGATTAATAAAGAAATTTATCTATATAGGTTTGAAAAAAATGAACGGTTGTAACAGTAATCTATAATAATCCCCCACCTTTGACACTGTATTTTTTTCAGGGGAAGCAAAAGAAAAATGTAATGATTCAGCACCAGATTGAGCGACTTGTTGCAACATGAGCTTCCTCCCGAGCTTAACACGACACAGACAAAACCCAGGTGGCCAGGTGGAGTACGGGACCAGCACGACCACCTGGTCCACAAAGACGTCAGAACCGCAGTGGTGGAACCTGTGCACATCTGAACCTGAATATCTTGTTGGTGTCGTATTAACGTAATGGTGCAGAGATCTCGGTGAGCTCAGCGATTCACTCACCAGCCTTTCTTGTTGGACAGCTCTTGGATTTTGCCCTGCCAACCTGGAAACCAGTAAACACACACGGTTATAATTCTTGGTAATTCTATGATACGTTACAGCTTTTTCTCTCCCTATTTCACAATTTTCTCTTACCCTCAACTTCTCGCTCGTGGACTTCCTGCAGTTTGAGGAGTAGGCTGTTGAAGCACTCCATTGCAATTAGACTTTCAGTCTGACTGTACGACAGAAAAAGGGAGAGAATAAGTAGATTGTTTGAAATTGTACTGAATATTATTCAAGTGAGGCACACTGGACAAACATAGATAGAGATAGATAGTTTGGTGAAAACATCCACAATTCTCATTGATATGATTCCCTCACTGCTTTTTCTATTTGAGTTACCATGAGATGATGCCTCATTTGCATATATACACACAACCTTTCAGGCAATTTGTCATAGAAAAAAGGATTTTTTTAATGCAATCAATCGACTAGTGACTAGTTTACATTGACATGTATGTTTCCCTTTTATCCTATGTACCTGTATCCCTCTCATAATGTGTGTCACGTTAGGATGCATCACACACACCGTGAATTTATAAAAATCCTTCACTTTCCCCCAAATATTAGTCTCAAACTACTAGTGTGAGAACACAAAAAATAAGTAAAACGACGCCTGAGTACTGCTGGGTATTTGGGACGCGTCGCACACTGTCAAGAGCCGAAACTGCAACACAAATGTGTTATATCAAGGAAGATTGGAGACTGGCTGGACTGGTCGAGCGAGGACTGTCACTTAATCTTTTAGCATGTGTTCCATGTACACAAAACACCGCTTTCAACCCTTTGTGAAACGTAGAGGTGCACACATGCGCATCAACTGTGTTTCGCAAAGTAACATCGTTGTTTTGTGCGTGAAACTTCTGATCTCTCCCATGCACGATCCCCCACATGCACAAAATGTTATCAATTTCATCAGTGGGGATCCGGTGCTCCCGACATGTCAGGATGTGTCGGCTGTTCAGATCAGCAGAGCAAGAAAATACCTGCCCGTCCTTCTGTTTCTAGATCAGGCTTTCTCGCTCTGCCAAGTAGCTCTCTTCAATGTCAGCCAGTATAGCGAAAAAGGAGTTTAGCTAAAAGTAAATGATGCAGTCAGATTGGTACAGGTAGTTACAGAATGTGTCTCTCTGTAGTTGTTAGAGATTGCTACCTCCTTACATTTAGGTTTACCTGAGGCAAATGAAAGGGATTATTTTATTGGGGGATGTTGACACCAAGCTAGCTAGCTAGCTACATTTTTTTTTGTCTCCAGTAAACAAGAGTGAACGAGCAAATTCAAAATACAACAAATAATAACTATAGACAAAAACTATTTTTTACATTGATATATCTCTCTAGTGTTTCAAAACAAGATTGTCATTCCCTGGTAATGCTAGTGAAAACTAAACAGCGGCTAAAAGAATTTGCATATCACTCCCAATGGGCCTAAGCCCCCCCTTTATTTGAATCCTAGAAACGTCCCTGTTTCAGTGTATTTGAGGCCATAAAACACATTGCACAACGGCACATTATGCTGTTATATTATAATCTTAACATGTGCCGTCTGTTAGTTTGTTCCACTAAATGTTTTTCTTTTCATAGGATCAAACTCTTCAAGGCCAACGTCCTTCCTCGTACTTCCCCCATCCACAAGACCCGCCAAACGAGAGCAATCTGTACTATTCCCCGCTAAGCAACTCAAATCTCTTCACCTGTCACCTGTCTAATGGCAGCAATGGAAAGTTTTGAAGTGTTGATCTGACCCCCGGATAATTGCAATGGAAAGCTAACTGCTAAGTGGGGTATAGCTACATCCCAAGCGGCCGTCTCGCATGCTCTGCTCCCTGCAAAGTGGTATAAATTAAGGAAGAGCTTTTGGGGCAGCTCCACTTCTTTGTTCTCTCATCTTGGACTGAGGTCAGACTGTATGCAGCACACTCACTATCGCCTCTCCAGGTTATAGGTGGCATTACAACACCGCACGGGCCGAGGCTAGCTGGTTATACACAATCCTGTAAACTCTTCATATTCGGCTGATAACGGCATTTTTGGATAATGTGGATGCCCTGGATAGGCACCATGAGATGGCTGTGAAGGGCCTCTAATGAACAAGTTGGTTGCTCTATTGTAAACGCTTGTCAAACACCTCCCGGCCCACTGGGAGATTTGACGCTTAATCCAAAAAACCTTTTCAGCCGGGAGCAGAAGTTTGTACTTTTGGACTGGCTGACGCGCAGCACCAACCGAATGCTGCACCAACAAAATGTTAACGCCGGGGTCACAAACTCCTTGTTAAGAGCTTGTCTCACTCATTACATTAAAGGGCATTTAGCTGACGCTTTGATCCAAAGCAAATTACATTACATTCTTAACCCATGGCTTTTACATTTTGCCCAGGGAGCAATTAGGGGTTAGGCGTCTTGCTCAACATGGGACATGGGGCAGCCAGGACTCAAACCACCAACCTTGTGGTTACCAGCGCACCCTCTCTACCCCTGCGCCACGACGACCCATCAGGTGAAGAATCGACCCATCAGGCGTGGAATCACTAATTTTATTTTTGAACAGTGACAAACACACAGACGTGTGTGGACAGAATATGCTTTTTGTGCAAATAAGATTAAACGGCAAAGGACAGTCTGTTAGACTTTTATGAGCCCAACCCTACTATATCCCTAAGCATACGATCTCATGGTTTGCCAATTGTTTTATTGTACATCGGGTCTGCTTATTTAATGCTTGAAAAGAATCTCTATATCTATTTACATAGATTTCTGTACAGTTTGACAACATTGCATAAATCTTCCACAATGAGCATGCAAAGCCTGACAAGGCCATGATCAGTGCGGAGTTTCAGCTCATGTACTTGACCTCACTCCCAGTCGCACATACCTGCACTTCCCCTCCCGACTCGTCAGCTAGACGGTCTATACCGGCCCTAGAGGCAACAACGCAGATGTTACTCAACGGAAACTTACCCCACAAAGCCGAGGACTCCTTTAGCCGGCCGCTCGCTCGGGCTCCAAAGATGAGTACACTGGTACAAGACGGACAAAGCAAAATAATGAAGAGGAAGAGAGGTTGATGAGGTGAGGGTGAACGCCCCACACCCTGCCCTGCTCACATCTCCACCCCAGGGAACCGGTCGGAGCTGTCGTCCCCTTAAGGAACACAAACACTGCGGCCCGGGCAAGTTCTCCCTTGATTTTCCTGTTCCAGCTGAAATCCCACATAACCGGTTAAACCGCCTCCACAGTGCACTGCGGGGATAGGGGAACAAAGCCGATTGAGAAACACAAGCACACACTGTGCAGAAGCCTGCCGTGGTTGTAATCACAAGTTAGAGAGGAAGAGTTCTCGTTTTCATTATTGTGTTACTTTTTGCCAATACATTAACTAGAACTACTGGAGTCAAACTCGTAAATTTCACATACTTTTTCATGTGAAAGTTACTTTTTGTTTTGTTATTGTAAATCCTTTATGTTGAGGTCTTGGCCAGGAATGTAAAAATAAATAACAACAAACAAACAACCCTTGGAATGTGGAACTTGAATTCGTACTGCAAATACCATGTCCCAAACTTTAACTTCCCCAATTAAAAACTCAGTGGTTGTGAACAACACAACAGAAGTGTTTTAATAATAGTATCATAACTCCTACATTATACACAATTCAAAAACAATCCTACCTTGAGTTCAGACATTGCTTTTAGGCAGCTGTGTATGTGAAACAAACTAACAATCAGTGACAGGGTGTGTTGGACTGGCTATGGTTCTGGTATGTAAATTCCATAGCAAAACAACAGACAGTAAAAATGAAAAAATTGTAGTCTGTAGAGCTCAACTTGATCCATTTTCAATTACAAGAACACCATTTCCTGATTCTTGAACTAGATTCCTCACAACCGGCCTTACGGGATGAGGTGCCATCTTCTTCTTCATCCTCTTAACATTTGAACAGAAACATCCCTGTTGTCACAGGTATCATAAATATCTATCACAAGCTCAACAGTTTGATCCTCTGCTTATATTGTCAGCATTTATTGACAGAAAAAAAAAGAATGAGGACACATAGCCAGAGTAGGGGAGACCCTCCAGGGTGGAGAATATACGTCAGAAAAGAGTACAGAAAATGAAAATAACTGTATAGTAATTGTACAGTATAGAAATTGAGAGAAATTACACCCTCATATGAATAATAGGCATATGTAGTTATTGCTGAACACACATACCTCCCTTAAGCGCACTATTCTCAATAAGGAAGATAGAGATAGAAATTTATTTGGAAGGAAGCCTAAGGAAGAGGGGGAGGTCCCAGGTGAGCCAATGGAACAGACCGAACGCAGGATGATAATACAGAAAAAGAGAGCTATCTATCAAGAGATATGAAGCTACCCACAAAGAGATGCAAAGATACATAAAATGACAAGGAGATCCACAATAACTAAACAACTTAAAGAGAAAAAAAGAGACCAAAAACAACAGCAACTACAAAATACACACAACAACTAAGAAAAGCACTTGAGATACAAACAGAAAACAAAAGACTACCAAAAGACAAGTACTTTGAAGAGATGCAAAACCATCAAAAGACACACCACAACAGCATGCAATACAACGTCACAGAGAAATGAATGTCAACATGACCACAAAAAGATGCAAAATAGAAAGCAACTTGCTCAGACAATGGTGTGAGCCCTGTGAGGCAGGGGGGTAAAATCAGGTTTTAAAATATAATATGAATTAATATAAAATAGGAAATTAAAGTTACCAGCAACGCCACGTAGTTTGAGGAGTCTAGGTCTCTATAAAAACAGGTTATTTTGTACCGGGGCAAGAACAGCATGGATCACAAAACATAAAATCATGATTGAAAGATGCTTTTATTATAAACTAAAACCCCAGGAAATGGCTGGTTTAGCCACCCATCCGTCCTGGGCCCTTCAAACTCTCATGGACACCACCTGTTGGTCCCATGTCCTTTCTCCTGGTGTTCTGCTCCGTTCGGCTCGTTTCCGTTCCCTGCCTGTGTGCGGTGCCCTGTTCCACCTGCTCGTCCTTAAGCATTTTCCTTCCTCTCGTTTTGTTTCCTACCCGCTCCTGCCGTGTTTCATGCCCTTTAGCAGTGGCTGTGAGAATTGGAAGGGAGGGTTGGATCCTATCGTCCTGTGACGGAGTTGGCCAGTTGCTTCACTGCCAGCGCTCCCTGTAATCAATTACCTCCAGGTACATGTGATTATTGACTGCACCATGCTAAAATGTAGTAAAACAAATCATGCTAAAATCATTAAAACAATAATTTACAGCAACAACCCAATGTTTTCCTGGTGACATCAGCACTGAAGCAGAGAGGGAGTCAGACAGACGTGAAAGGTCACGCCCACTAGTTCAACCAGTATGATCTATATATACATCTTTATATATATATGTATATATATATATACTTTGGAAAGGTTACCAACAAATGGAACCTAATGTTGGTGTAATATGCTCAGATATTTCAGATTTTAAAATGCTAAACGTCCCTTTGAATGAATTGGCTACAATCGAAGGCCTCACCTAAAAGTGAAATATTTATTTTCATCCACAAGAGGGCCCAGTTAGACCTCTTGAGTGGACAGACGCGCCACATTGGTCTGGAAAAAGCAGATTATTTTTGAGGCAGATCAGTGTATGACGACTGATCACTGAAGCAGTGATCGGAACGAGTTCTTCACAGAAGGTTAAAGCAGGTTGGGTGGTTTGAAAAGCATGCGACCACGAGCGGTGTGTGAGGGGTTAACCGGGAGGTGAAGGGTCAAGCCCGCAATTTATCCCTGCCTCCCCCATCTCCTCTCTGCAGATACTCCTCAATTGCTGCTTTCAACTCATTTAAAATTTGATGAAAAAAAGCTGAACAAATTGTTTTAACATGAACACTTAATTATTTCAAGAATGATTATAGTTACTGCCTGTGCACAGTTGTAGGTTGGTGTAATGTTGTCAGACAATTTTTGTGCAAACTGAAGAGGGTAGGAGTGGGGGGGATGCAGGGCAGCACAGCCAATCCAAGAGGAGCATGAGTAACATGAACAAACAGAAAGCAGCAGCTACACAATCCTATCAGAATATGTGTGTGTGTGTTTTATAGGGTGAGTCTGTCTCAAGAGCTTTCTAGTACAATAAGACAGAGAATGGTGAAGTCTGTGAGAGGGTGAATGTGGGTGTGAGGGTGTGTTAGTGTGTTTGCTCGCTTGTCTGGGTTCTTACGTTCACTTGAATCTGTTCATGCATAACTTGGTATTTACTGTAATTCATACATTTTACAAACTTTGCATGCACATTTTAGTAAAACAATAGTTCTCATATCTTGCTCGAAATAAGCAAGGTTTTATTGTTTGTTTTTTCAGGAAAATAAACTGTGTTCACTAGCTAACAGAAGTTTCTCAGCATGATAACGTTATTAACATAAGATAAGTGCTATTTTGTTTCTGGATTCCCAACGGCCTACACTTCTCAACTTGGGAGGCACTGATACTCAGCATTAAAGTGTGGGCCAAGCAATTTTGTTGTTTGAAATTTTGTTTCAACAACATTTTATACAGACAATCATAATCCCTACATGATCGCTCCAAATTACTTTTGTTGATCACCCTTTCCCCCCTGAAGTCGACCTTTTGGGGTTTAAGTGAAATGTTTCCCCAGCCAAACAACAGATTGGTACGGATATTTATGGTCCCCAAAAGATGGACATCAATTACTTTGATGACCCACTGACTTCTCCACTCAAGTTTCCAAAATAAAACAGATTGTTGCAGACATTCATGATCTTGAGAGGCTGGTTCTCGTTGACTTTTTCTCTTTCACCATCAACTTTCAGCTTGTCTGCCATGGTTCCGTTCGCCATTTAAGTTCTCAAAAAACTCATCTGCATCAGTTTTTTTTAAACTGTAAGTGTCTGAAGATTTGCTCAACTTCCAGGTTTAACAGCTTTGCATATGGATCGACCCGGGGCACTTAAAGTTACGACGCCCATTTGAACCCTCCCTACACGTTATTATGTTCATTCACCAGCTCTCACTTGCTATGATGTTCATCTGCCCTCTCTCGCTTGACACAAACACACACACACCCAACTCTCCTTCTCCTCTCCTGCACCTCTTATTTATGATCATTACCTTGACCTGCACCAGCCATCACTAAAACACTCACAGGCCAGTAAATCACTGAAGTCTCTCTCTCTCTTTCGCTCTACCCCCCCTCACTCTTTCTCTATCATCTGTTAAGGAGGCAATAGGCCTGACCAATCAGACAGACATTGTCACAGTTGTTCTGGTGGTATGAGGAAATAATGTTTGAGATTTTATGTTTGGTTTCTATTATCTCATTTACTTTATTTCCCATCTGGAAGGGAAGAGACTGTAAAAGCTGTGGGAAACATTCCCCAAAGGGGCTATGTTCTCAGTAAAAAGTTACCGCATCGGCACTATTGCAGGCTTGCTCTCAATTAGTCAGCTTAATCTTAGTTCACAGCCCAGAGTGAAATGCAGAGCAGCAGCTTGAATAACTAGCGTTTTGATAAAAGGCACACCAAAAGGATGCATCACAATTGATGGACAAATACTATGTTTGACAGCGTGCATGATGTTGATTCTGAGTGATAACTATCTATGTAAGTCAACTGGATTATTTTTTATAATATCATTTTTAAATTTATTAAATAACTTAATAACATAATTTTTTTTTATTATTTTTTTTTATTGTGGCAATTTTTACCTGTATTTCCATGGCAACATTGTAGACTTACGTTGTGTAACAGCTCTACTCAGCTATCTTAACTCTTCAAGTAAGAATTATTAAAACACTCTATTGCTTGTATATTTTTCACTGGCGACTACTACAAGTGATATTAAATGTATTATTTATTAATGTCAAAAGCATTTTTCTGTTCATGCTTTTTATATCAAACAAAATATTCGGAGGAATTCTAAAGATATTAGATTGATGAGGAGGAGGCAAGAAATTCCCAAAAATAAACCACTTAAACAACATATAGTAGTTAGCCATCCTTTAACAAGAAATTCAAAAGATAGATATTTTGACAAGAAATTACACAAATATAGCTGGTAAGAT